CAAATCTCAGTCACCCTGGCAGTGTTGTCGTACTGCAGTAATGTATTTATACTTGACTTGAAGATCAGCCTGTTATCAATTACTCAGCACACTGAGTTTGTTGAAAACCAAGTTGAAGGCATAACTTTGAGATAAATAATAGAAAAAATCCAGAACAATCCTGTAGGGAGATGAAATCATGAAGAATTTCTCAATATTGAGAGTGATTGTACAAAGTCCCAACTTGGTTCTTGATCTGTTCCAATACAACTCGGCCCATATTCAGTAAATGGATCAGAGCAACTATTATTTTTTTAAATAATTATCAGGCATTTCTAGAGAATCTAGCATGATAAGGATAGTTAGTGAGGCTTTGAATGTGTGAATCTCCAAACGCTCAAGCATTTGGCATCCAGACAGTTTATTGAGATTCTCTTTTGTGCTTTTGAAGAATGTTTGGTATTTCTAAGGCTTTAGTCCCTTTTCTAATCCCTCTCGGCTGGAGGCTTGGATACGCGGTGACGACAGGGATGAAGAAAGTATTCGATCCTTACTTTCCCGGGAAGGATTTGGACGAAAGCAGCTCTGAACAAACTGACCCGTTTGGGGAGGTTTGCTTCAAACGAGCGATGGATGTCTATGAATCCAAGGACTTTGACTCAACTGAGGCTTTGAAGGACAGTACCTCGGACGAGCGTACTGTCTTTGGACAAACTAACCCGGCTGGGGAAGTTTGTCCTTTAAGTCATACAGTTGCCAGTCACAGCAATGTCACTGGTTTGAGAGCTATGACGGTAGACGATGATCTTAGGCGTGAGAGGACAGTCATAGCAAAAACTGACCCGACAGGGGAAGATTTTTCTAAGGTTGACCTCGAAGCCAAAGGTTTTGCTGAAGTTTTGGCTTCAGCAATTCCGGCAAAGCCAGACATGTCGTCGCTCAAAGGCACTTTCACCGGTGTCTTTGAATTACCGAGTTCTCAACGGGTCTCAGTGGGAAACAGAGTCGAGAGAGACATCACAGACTTTGGTTTGTCAAAAACCTTGGATTGTGAAGTCTCTGTTGTTATTGAGCTTAACTGTTCCCCGAACAGGGAAGCTCAATTAACAAACAACTCTGAGACCCAGAGACGTGTGACGTGTTTGTGACCGTTCCCAAAGACAAGGCTACCCCGGCTGGGGTAATTCTCTCTGGGAACGAGAGCAAAGTCTTTGGGGACAGCTTTCTCTCTGCTACTAAAGGGATAACCAACCCGGCTGGGGACGTTGACCTTTTGGAGCAGCAAGCTGGCTTAGACGTCCTGGTTGTGGTGAAGTCCGCACAGCAGGGTCTAGCTGTCATGGAAGACCCGGAGAACTTCTTTAAGTTCTCCAGCGTCTTCTCAAACAGTTGGATGAATACCTCATTTCAAACCATCCTAAACCTGAGCGTGACAAGGAGGTGTCTCGCTCGGGAAAGGGTGTTCATTGAGGCATCATCCATCCCCTGCTGTGCGGATCTTCTCCACTCTGTCGTCCGTCATCCTGGGAAACACATTTCTCCAGAAGAAATCTCCCCAGTTCTCAAGGAGCTGAGGGAGAGAAGACTGGTCTTGGGAAGAGATTTTGAGGTTTATTGAGGTCTTTGCTCGTCTGGCTCGACTCTCTTGTCTGGAAATCGGACAGGGAGTTGTACAGTGCAGGCAGCTGTACAACATGTGGAATGGACTACTTAGTGCGGCTCAGTAATGGCCCCCTCGTTCCACAGCCATAGATAATCCAACATCTCTTTTTAGACACTGGGTAGAGTTGGGGGTCACAACTATTTGCTCAGAATGAGGCTCAAAAGTAACACACAAACACTGCCTCACTGAAAACAACGTCCTGGTCTTTTTCCTACCACAGTCGGCCAGATGTAACGAGAGACTCAGAATCCTTCCCAACGCAACCATGGATGTTTCTGGAGAATGTGGATCGTCGGAAAACCACTGTCATCTGCCGTGGATCAGACCCTGCACATTTTTATACGTACTTAATACATGGATGAAGGATGAAGGCTGTTCATGTCTTCACTGCAGCGGCAGTGAAGACATGTTCAGAAGGGGCTTCATGTTTATGTACGAAAAGAGAACAAACTGAGAGAAAAACACACCTAATTTCTCCAGTCCCTCCTCCCGAAGATGATAAAAGTGCTTTCGGAGAGGAGCTAGTAATATCTATTTTTGTTGAAGATAATATTCAACATCATAAAATAATCGAGCATTTTGAGGCTGGAGAATGTAAGTGACTGCGACTTAAACATTCACAAAAATTTATGGGATGAAAGGGTGAAAAGATTAGACAGGTTTCTTGTTTGCAGGTTTCTCTCCGGGCGCTCCGGCTTCCTGCCATAATCTAAAATCACGACTGTTTGGATGATTGGCCTCAAAATTTTCTTTAGGTGTGCATAAAACATTAAAGTCCTGGGTTTTAATCCCCTCTTTCATAACCCTCTTTACTGGAGCCTTTATTTAAGAATAAAGGCTCAGAAATACATTTATTTCTGACATTTAATTACAAAATGGCAGAAACAAATTTTTTAATTACATTTCTTAAAGAAAATATCAAAAAGAAATTTTCTGCAGGTTTCTCTCCGGGCACTCTGGCTTCCTGCCACAGTTTAAAATCAAGGTGCTTGATTTTAGTCTTGATTATAAAGACTACAAACATATATGTAGTCCTTAGGCAAGACCCTTCAAGCTACTGCCTACCTCATACCATGAGAGATACTAAGTTGCGTAACATGCCGGCTCAGACGTCGCCCGGCCAAACAAGGTCTGCATCAGGTGTTGGGGAACCAGAGCACCTTGATGACAAACGGGCTACTGGAACAAGACGGAAATGGGCGAGAGATGAAAATGTGGATCTGTTGGAATGTTACTACTCAGGTAACCCTAATCAGAGGGTTACATGCAAAGACTGGGGAAGGAATGGTTACTTCGACATCCCCAGTGCTAAACAACTAGTAGCTCAGTGTTCCAACATCCGCAAACGACAACTGCTGTCACAACTTGAGATTGATGAGGTACAAAACAAATGCTATGGCAAAAAGGAGGAACCTGGATGTCAGAACTGTGGGGACTTAACTGCAATGGGGGCCAGCCGCCTAAAGAGATACACAAGGGAGAATGAATCCAGAAGGATTAACCGGCTCTTCTCCACTCAACCAGCTAAGGTGTACTCTCAATGGCAGGGTAATAACAACAGAGCAGACCCACCAAGGCTGGAGACTGAACAATACTGGAAAGGCATATGGGAAAGGGAGGCGTCCCACAACAGCAATGCACAGTGGTTGATCTCTCTACGAGAGGACCACAGCAACCTCCCTGAGCAAGCCCCGGTAACCATCACTGCGACAGATGTTCAAGAAAGAGTCTCAGGTATGAAAACTGGACAGCACCAGGGCCTGACATGATCCATGCCTACTGGCTAAAGAAACTCACTGCTCTCCATGAGCGACTGGCAGCCCAAATGAACCAGCTGCTACAAAGTGGGACTCACCCTGAATGGTTAACTGAAGGGCGGACAATCCTAATCCAGAAGGATCCATCAAAGGGTCCAGTCCCACCCAACTACCGACCAATAACCTGCCTCTCCACAACCTGGAAGCTCATGTCAGGCATCATAGTGGCCAAGATAAGCAAACACATGGATAAACACATGAGCATGGCACAGAAAGGTATCGGTGTAAATAGTAGAGGAGCCAAACACCAACTCCTCGTAGACCACACAGTTGCACAAGTGTCCATCGAATGTGATATATACCAAGGAGATGCTCTGTCCCCGCTACTGTTCTGCATAGGCCTGAACCCCCTCAGCCAAATTATCAACAAGACTGGCTACGGATACCGACTCAAAAATGGGGCCAACATCAGTCACCTTCTATATATGGATGACATCAAGCTGTACGCCAAGAGTGAGTGAGACATCGACTCACTGAACCACACCACCAGGATCTACAGCACGGACATTGGGATGTCATTTTAGGGGTAAAGCACCCATAAAACTGGGCTAGAAACGCTGGCAATATTTTCCTGTAATATCTAATTACAGAGTTATATTTTTACATTTCCCGTCAACATAAAATCTTTTAATACAAAAACGCGGTGGACCACCGCTGGAGTTGTTTTCTGCATAAATTCTGTCCAGTCTCTCTAATGCTGGGCATTTATTGATCCAATCATTTGTTTCTTTTCTTTTTTCAGTCTTTTTGTTGTGGATTTTCTGCTGTGTTTGAGATGACGATCCTGAAAGATTAAACAGTGATTTTGGAATTAATCTTTGAAACTCTTGAATAATGGTTTACGCTGTAAAGCAGACTTCAAAAGTTTTGGAAATAACATATAGTGCGTCTCAGATTGTTGGCACACAGTTAAAACGCACCTGTATTTTCTAAAACTGCTGAAACTTATTGATGGCCACATTCTCCAGTCATCGGATAATAATAAAACACATTTAATTAGCAGTGCCAGGTTATTACTTTTCCTCCTAAACCCAGTGGTACGTCAAGGATCCACAACAAACAGCTTTTATGCTTTGGCTTCATTTTGATATAATGAACAATGACAGTTTGAAATCCGATAAGTGTTTCTGTAGACTTGAGGGCAGATTTATTTCGCTAAATATGAAATCATTTTCACAACGTCATATTAAATTGGCTTGTCGTGGAAAGAGGGTGTTCTTTCCTTTTCTCAAGAGAGCAGAGATTTATTTGCTCTATTTTCATTTCACAGATTCACAAAAGGCCTTGTGATTGACATGGAAATATTGATCAATTAACAATTATTTTCTCCATTAGGATGCCCCAGTAAGTGTATTGGTTAAATTTTATTCGGCAGTAATAAATTTGGACATTTTGACTTGTTCTGGGTTTTTTTTTTTATTATTACTGATAATTGTTAAGAAAATGCACATCTCTTATTGCAGATTTGACCTCTAAATGAGGATGAATTTCCCCAACAGAGCCAAAAATGAAGAGCTTTGGATGACTGTGGGTGGGTTTACCTCTGTAAATAAACATGAGCGTCTCCCACAGGCACATGCACAGCAGGGGGTCCTTCACCACCAGCCGAGTGAGCCGTCCCGTCACGTGTCCATCCGACCGGGGCAAGTCGTCAATAATGCTGCCGTCCCAGGTGGAGAGCAGCGAATGGGGGCCTCCTTCTCGCTCCCTGCAGACACACCGTGACTGTGGACGTTCCCTGTCCCACGAGAGTCAGACAAGACGTTTTACAGCGACTCTACAGACAGGAAGCGCAGCTACACTAGAGCTCTTTAAGTTACCGCGAGCGTGTAAACATGTCTTCTACCTGGCTTTGGGGCCCAGAAGCAGCTGTCGGAAGTACGGGCTGACGGCACACAGCACGGCCGCGTGGGCCCACCCCAGTTCTTTCCCAGAATCCCCGGAGTAGAAGGCTACGTCGGCAAACTGCACGCCGCGCTCCAACAGCCACTGCATGTCCTGGGAGAAGCTGGACTCCTCCACTCGGATAGGAGGAAGACGAGCTGAAAGGACAGAGGAAGATGTGTCAAAGAAAGAAAACTGCAAGATAATAAACAATTCAGACTTCCCTAAACAACAAAAAGTGTGCAGCAGGGATGATGCAGAACAGACAGTCTTGTCTATCTCCACTAGTGATTCCTGCTTCTTTCGGCACAAACCTTTGGCCTGAGGGAGTCGGGGTGTGTGTGGACAAATAGCTTTCAACGCCAACAGAACATAGAAGTGTGATGGGAGGCCAAAGTCATGTTCAAAGGACGAAAGAAAAGTGTTTTACTCTTTGGATTATTGACAGTTTTAAGAAGATCCCGACTCAGATTGCCGAACTAAAATATGTACGACCTTTAGGAATGGACACAAAACAAACAGTGTCTTGCAGTAGTATTCATACCCATAAAAAAAAACTTTTTGTGTTATGTTAGGTTATAAGCCTACTTTTTTCTTTAGTGTGGTAAATCAATACAAAGTTGTAAGTAGCTGAAAAGTGAAAAAATTACATTGTTTCCAAATGTTTTACATCTAAAAATCTGATGCTTGTTGTGAATTTTGTATTGAGACCCGTTTACTCCAAAAATGAAACCTGGACAACCCAGAGAGCATGCTCTTCAAGAGACTGCCATATAAAAACACATGTCTTCAGTCAGAGGCGTCTTCAAATTCCCAGCAACACAGACTGCTACAGGAGATCCTTGAATAATATGTTAATATACAACATTTAGTGTCACTTTGGGATCAATAAAGTAATAAAGTATTTTTATTTTTTAATTTGAAAACCATTTAAACCAACTGCCTCCCAAATGCCTCTAGTAAGTAATTCAAGTTGACCCGTGTCTAGTGAATCAGAGCGCAGTATTGGACAAATGGCATCATAAAAACCAAGCAGATTAAGTTGTAAATGATACCCCAAGAACAGAGATAAAGATTTATTCATATTCATTTGTTGGAACGACAAAGTGAAAGTCTCACCTCATGAGCAATTAGGAATCTGAGCTAAGACCAGAAATTAGATTTTCGTAGGACGACTCCATCCACTTGAACTGAGGACTAAAATGTGTATAATTTATTATCAAAAAACTCAATAAAATACAATAAAGTTTGAGGTTGTAGCGCAAAGAATACAAAAAGATTACACCAGCACAGAAAATAATTGTAAACCGGCATTAATAAAACTGCACATCAGAAATACACTGACAAAAAAGACCAAAACGACCAAAGAAAAGGGAAAAAAAACAAAAGGATGGCCTGCTGTAAATAACGCATGATAACTCAGTGCTTTCAAATGTTATATCATAAAGTCAGATAGATAAAAATATGAGAAAAAAGGAGGTGGTGGAGCGAAAGAAGTACGGACGCCTCACAAATCAGAGTCCCATTACAATCCTATTCGTGCTGCACACTCACTAATTTGTACCTTGTTTTATTGCTGCTGTGATTTAGCCATGAAAACTGTGCAGTTTCTGAATCAGCGCTTGTCATATTTAATGTAAGCTGGGCCATAAGTTGAGCTAAGTGGAGTCAGACAGCGACCAATAAATCCAGCAGCACTAGCTGCCGTTCCTGGCAGGACGTTCAGCTCTCGTTACCATGTCAGATTCAAAGAGACGGCACAGAAAAGAGCGGCCGGATCAATGCTCAGCTCGAGTTTTACAGCGTGGTTTATGCCGAAGAGCTGCAGGTGTCTTCTTACAGAAGCACAGAGAAAAAGCCTCAAAAAGAAAACAAGGTACAGCTAATAGCGTCACGTCAGTCAAAAGCTCAATCATTTTACTTTCATCACTGAAAAAATATCACATTGTAGCAACATCCATAATGTGAAAAAGAGAAGCTGCTTAAAAACCCCAGTTTCAGATTTAATCGGACATCTTTCATCCGGCTGCAACAACACAGATCCAAACAGAGGAGAAAAATTAACATTAAGATAAGAGCGAAGTGGGGAAATCCGACTGTCGAGCTACAGAGCCTGGCTTATTACTTTGATGCTTTGCCACAGTAATCAAACTCGCTGTCTGAAAGCTGCTCACTGCATATTAATGTACGTAAATCTCAGAGTTGTAGCCTCTTTTGATCAGCACAGCCATTTATCCCCTACAGTTACGGTATTTTGGAGTTTTATTGGATTGGAGGCAGTTTGATTAAGGCTGCCATAGATCTGCAAGTGAGAAAATGTTGCTGCCAGAGTAGTAAATGAAATGGACGGACGGATTGATTGATTGATTTACTTAAATCTAATTTCTGGATTTTCAAACATCAATGCACGTTGTCATTTATTAACAAAAATAATTAAATACCTGGAACTGTAAATTTTCAATTGATCAGGTCAGAGAAGGGATTAGCATGTTTAATACTAACATTTTTTTTCTAGTTATTAAATGCATTAAAACTAAGAATTCCCTCCATTTTTGGTCCATTGACACATCAACTTACAACACATACATTGATGCATAAGAAAAACTTAAAACAAATACATGTATGATGGAAAACGACACTAACCTCAACCGTCTCAACAAACGAATTAAAACCATTTTGCAACAAGGAAAAGACCAAATCAAAGTGATAGCGAGAATTTGTTGTTGCATTTCATGTTTTCAAATTTATAGCATAAATGTATAGCAATAAAAACAACCCTACAGACTAGCCAAGCAAGATTTTTTAAACACTATGAGTAAAACCAGTCATTTCAATTAAAGATGTGTCAGACCCACATATTCGTCTCTCAGTCAACTCGGCGTTAACTCCGGGGACTCGACTCAGTTCAACTGATTCAAATGTCTGCAAAAACAAAAAGAAAGAACAAAAAGCAGTCCACCTAGCTCTTTTGTCTCTTTCCCTTTTTCCAGTTTGACCAGAGGAATATTGATCCACATGAAACCTTTGTGCTCAGCTCTTTTCACGGCTACGTTAGCTCCCGAAGAAACAATCCAGTCAGTCCACTGAATGTTCCCTAAACCCGCCAATAAGAGACTGAAAACATAAAGGGAGGACAGCAATGCACAAGTACAAGCTAGTTAGAACATGGAGAGCCTCCTTCATGAAGTGATGTAGTGTTTCTCTGACCTGGTTGCTCTAAGTGAGGAGGACGCAGCTCGTTCACTTTGTTCCCTCGCCTCTTGTCTGGCCTCTCTTTGGCTTTGTGTTTCAGGCACTGAATCATGAAGTACTCCAGCTGCACAAAACAGACAGAAAATAAAACTGTTAAGTCATCGATCCTTATCCTTAAAAATTCCTCTTTGCAAACAGAAGTGGACATAAGGGTTAAATAGGAACATTTAAAAGCCGTGGCGATTGGTGGACCGTTCTAAAGATCCGCATCGCCGCTTACCACGCTGCCAAAGTAGCGGCCGACGAAGACGTGGTTGAGAGAGGGCAGCTCCAAATAAGTGGCACCCAGGTCCCGGGAGAGCTGCAGACCTTCACTGTGCGGCACACAGCTGCTCCAGTCAGACGCACACAGTGGACACGTACACGGAGGTCCTTCATCTCAATGCAGAAAAGAAGACGCACGTCATCAATATTACATTACGCTTTTAAAGCCATGCAGGAGAGCGTGCTTGAGAACTTGAAGTATTCAAACTGTGCAATGACTTGCAGTTCGCATGCACAGATATCGACTTTTTCGCATCCAGATGCAAATGCATTTACTGGGACTTGGGGTGACAAAGGGAGACAAAGCGTAATTGTTGAAGGGAAGGAAAATAATACATGTATTTGTAAGTTTTAATAATGTGGTGTTCATTTATTCAAGACCCTTTAGTCAACACTCTGAAGGCATTTTTTGGTGCGTTTTTCCCAGCTTTCTTCTTCGCTCAGCAAGACTGCGCAAAGAGCATCTCCGAATATCACCGCTTAATTAGATCCTGTTCTGAACTTTTATGAGGCAACAAAAAACCCATGAATTTAGTTTGAGCTAAATCAGTGACGTCCAAAGTCAGTCTTCAGTGGCGGATATCCGGCATGTTTGGTTCAACACGCCACGTGACATGATGGTTCAGCGGCAGAACTTCTGCAGAACTTCTGATGGGATGAAGAAGTCGTCACAGCGTTTGAATCGGCCGTGTTGGAGCAGAGACGCGTCTCAAACGGGCCGATTAATCAGATTAATGCTGATGAGTCAAGTATGAAAAATAATAATCAATTAATTTATTAATCGATAGTTATGTTGATTTAATAAAAGGCTGAAAGAACAACATACTCATAGCAGAAGTTCAGCCAAAATTGTGCAAAAATAAATATGAATTTAGCATTTAAGGGGAAAAAATGTGTTTAAATATGTTCCACCAAAACTATTCAAATGACAGTTCACCCAAATTAAATCTTCAATTAAGTAGAATGTCCAATAATTAATCAGATAATCCAAAAGTAATCAACAGATTAGTCCTACAGTGTTTTGATGTTAAGTCAAACAGAAAGAGTTGAGCTTTTGAGAAATTTGTTTTGCTACGTTATTGTGTTTTTATGCAATAAAGTGTTTATTTTCTTATCTCAAAAAGGATTTGGACTATTTGTTTTCATTTTTTGATGTATTTCTAATGTATGTAAAAAGCCTCAAATGAAAAATCTGCAGAATGTGCCATTTTTTAAATAAAATTTCTTATAAATTTATTAATCATCAGAACAATCGGCAGATTAACCGATATCTAAAATATTCAATTGTCGCAGCCCAAACACACTTTTCAGATTTGTGTTTGTAAAACATTGTGAAAGCCACCAATCATTTTCATTCAGCATCTCTCTGCTTTTTGTTGTTCCATCATAATAAATCCTTGTGAAACACACTTCTAACGTGGAAAAAGAATAAAAAAGTTTAAGGCGCCTCAATAATTCAACAAATGGCTGTACAAGCAGTAGTCAATTTATACATAGTTTGACATTTTGCACTGCCTGCAACAATAAATTACAAAAAAATATCAGGAGAAAAAAAGTCATTACGATGCATAGGTCTAAAAAAAAGAAGAAGAAATGAGAAAAATCAGAAAAGCTCCATCACAACAGAGCGCTAAGACGTCATGTAAACAAACGGGTTGTTCAGGCTGCTTGACATGAAACATCAAAAAGATGAAATCAGCAGAAGCTTCAGGAGCAATGACCACCTTTGCACCGTGGCGTGCCTAGATGGAAACCGCTTAGACAGAACAAGACAGAAAATGGGATGGAGTGTCCTGAAGAAGAAAACGACAGAAGCGCACTGCACTAAAGGAGGAGCAAGCAAGACAGAATGAGCTGGACATACAGCCAGGGGGCGAGCTTTTGATAAATCATACTCCTAATAACCTGGAGGCATGACACGGAGATGGAGCTGGGTCGAGTGCGTGTGTGTGTGTCCACGAGTGAGGGCCAAGCGAGGTACGAGTGAATCTCTGACATGAAATGACTTGGCATATCGCTGTTACGAGTGTGTGTGTGTGTGTGTGTGTGTGTGTGTGTGTGTGTGTGTGTGTGTGTGTGTGTGTGTGTGTGTGTGTGTGTGTGTGTGTGTGTGTGTGTGTGCGTGCGTTAGAATGGAGGTTGGGAGGGGATAAATCTCTATGTGGTTCTCTGTTCATTACCGCCTAATAGATGCCTTAATGTAGGTGCAGCAGCTCTCTTTTGCCACAGCTGCACCTTAGGTGGTCCAGAGTCGAGTTGGGGGGGGGAACGCTCCGAGCTCAGGCTGTCATTCTCTGCAGTCTTGAGGGGATAGGGTGGAAACTCACAGCAGCCACAAACAAAAACACCAAGGCTCCGGTTCAAAGCTGCCTCCTCTCCTCTGCCTCTTTCTCCAGCAGCTCTCTGACAGATAGCAGTTCTCTTGTCTTCGAGCAGACGAGCTAAAAATACAACCTGCTGTGTTTGATGCGCTTGTTTATGGGATCTGGATTCAACAGTGGGTCGGTGTGTCTGCGGGAAAAACCACACGCAGACCCGCTAACGTGGCCGGAGTTCACTTAATATTAATGCCTAATGTATCGAATGGCATCCGGTCAGGCTGCACCCAAAGGCTTTAATCTCCTTACTGTGAGGAACACTTGGCTGCTGTTGCACTTTTGAGCTGTGAATATGTATTCTTGCCTTGCTTGCAAAACCTCGACCAAAAAAAAAAAAAAAAGAGAGAAAGAAAGAAAAAAGAAACTACAAACTGGATGTTTTGCTTTGGAGACTTTCCTTCGGGGAGACATGTGAGCCAACTGCCTGAAGGCAACGGAGAGCAGGCTTAATCATGAGCATCCTCCTCGTTGCGGGGAGGACACGCTGGAGGACACGAGACTCAGACGGCGAGTGCATTCACCCGTCCAGAAAAGCCTGATATTGTCCTGAAAACAAAATCAAGCGCTGAAGCAGAAGCAAGCTGACCCCAAAGTACTACAATGCCTTGTGAAAGTATTCGTGTTACATCAAATGTTTCCCGTTCTGATGCGCTAAACACTCCAAACTTAAATGTATTGTTTTGGGAGTTTCGTCTTGTTTTGATTGTGACTTTGACTGGGCCATTTTAACATGAACGTGTTTTGATGTAAACAAGGGATGCATGTTATCCGTTAATGAGTTCATCTAAAGGTGACTGACCTCATCAATCGACTAACGAGTAGTTCCATCTTTACATGATGTAAAGGGCTACGTTTTTCATACTATAATTTTTTTTTTAAGAAACAAACCAATATATTTTAAAAAAATTTTAAGTCAGCTGCATTAACGTGAGAACTTCATGAACATCTCAAGTATCTATATCCGTTTGGTCCTTTCTCTTTCCTGTCTCCGCCATCTTTGTTTCTGTATCAGCTGACTCCGCTTGAGGATGACCAGCAGCATCCTCTTCTGGCTGGAGGTCAAACTGCCACACTGAAAGCAGGTCTGAGCTGAAGTAATTAATCAGTTGATTGGAACTCATTTTAATCTAATAAACCATTAAATGACAATTATTTGCATGTCGAGTAATTACCTCTAATATAAACCATTCAATTGTTGTTCTTGCAACATGTTTAGGGTTGTTTTCTTAAAGTTGAACCACCAAGTGTTTATTAAGACCCTGTGCAGCAATACCAAATCACTGAGAGAGCAGAGGACTTTGTGTTTGGGTCCTCTCAAATTCCTACGCACCAGTGATGCATACAATGATGGCGAAAAATCTGAACTTGATCCTATCCGGACAAAAAGCACAAAAAAAAGGCAAAGCGCATGCTCACCATTCAGTCGTGCTCCAACAGCAACAAGGATGACTGGCACACCCCAGTGCCTCAGGAGAGGGCGGAGCCTCGGGGCGTAGCCATTCCTGACCTGCTGGAAGGCGAGCTTGTCCGTGACGGCGTATTTAATGACGAGGATGTCGGCCTGCTCGAGAACTTTCCGCACACTGGACCAGTCGCTGTCCAACAAGTCCTGGACAGTCAGAAAAATGGACAACAAGGATAAGAAGGAGATTAAAAGCTGACACATTAAAAGCAGCAAAGAGTTATATGTGTGTACTCAACAGGCAATATAAATCTCCCCTCAGAGAGCATCAACCTTTCCCCTCTAAAGTCTAAATGCCTCTGTGTGGTTAGCTCCTGGGACTTTACCCCCAAAGGACCCGCATAAATCTAGCAGCTCTAAACCAACCTGATTCAACTTAATAAACAGGCGAAAACACACACACACAGAGCTGCGGCCCATTGGAACATAATTTGGACTAAAGGACGCAGAAAATTAAACCGACACAATTACTCCTGATTTGGACTGACAGAATTACAATAGGACGTGTGCCGAGTCGCTACAAAACCACAACAGCAGAGCTTTCATTTCAAATTCATGTGCTACTTAGAACAAAAGGTCTTTCATCTGGGTTTTCTTGTGAATTGCATGTTAAAATAGTGTCCTCCAAGAATAGGGATGTTTTATAAAACCTGCAATCAGTGTTAGGGAGGTCTGGGAATATGAAAATAATGTGCTGCACGTCTTCTGAGAAGCTGAAGAAGATGGAACAGTAGGCAAAACAGCATGTCAGCGAAGAAACACACACTCTGTCATAAAGACAATGCTCAGAATGAAAATGTGCACCACTATTTTACGACATGTTTGGCATCGTTAAACGTCCCGCCTTCAATAAGTTGTGATTTAGAAGCTGCGATAATGACTCAGGTGGGTCTGTTGCGAGACAAAAGTCAACACACTTGTTGACTATTTTGTGTGAAGAAGGAGAAGAAAGGTTTTAAAAACGTTTTAGTCATATGGGATTTCCTATTTAGCTCCCCCGAGTCAACACTTTGCAGAACCACTTCTCACTGAAGCTGCACTGCAGGTCTTTTAGGGTATGTCATTGCCAGCTTTCCACTTCTAGATGATAAAATGTTTTCCTATTCTTCTTTGCAATATCTAAAGCTTAATCACAATGAACGAAGAAAGTCGGTTAAAAACCAACTTTCAAGTCGAACCGGACTTTGACTGGACCAACCAACGCAGCCTCTAAAAGGTTATCTCCCAGTATTACCCGATATTTAGCTCTAGGTTTCATTTTGGTATTTTGTGTCAGAGAATCTCTACTGATATGCTTTATGTTTTCTGTGTACTCTTCAAGGTTGGTGGCGCTCCACCATTGGTACAAAGGGTCTACTGGCTCTGGTGTAGGTGGAAGGCAACGTCTTGGCAGGCTTGCATTTGAGTCGTACTCTTCCCATGTGGGAGCATCGGACTGTCCGGAGCTCTGTGAGATGCTCAAAGCTTCACCTTGTCCCAAACTGCAAGCAGTTTAACGAAGAAATAATCTATCAAGGAGCTGATCGCTCTGTCTCTTAGCGCGGTTGTTTTCTTACCCAACTGGGGCAATCCCGAACCACCACCGTGACGTCTCCAAACACGCGTGAGGTGTACTCCATGAAGGCCGGGTTGTGCAAGCTGCCCTCCAGGTCGCAGGGTCCCACCAGCGCTCCGTGACCCAGGTAGCTCCACAGCAAGCCTCCCTGCAGCTGGCCCTGGCCCATGAGCTCCTCCCCGGGCCCGACTCCTCCGGGACACTCACTGCCCAAAGCAACAATGTGGATGGACCTGCCGGCAAGACAGCTGGGTAAAAGACTAAGTGGGAGCTTATTACTCATGTGCATCACGGAGACAGCGCGTCACCTGTTATGTCACTGAAAATGACAAGAGATGGAGCTCACCGAGGCCTTTCCGACACCTGAGAGGGCATGTGGTTCAGCGAATCAAAGAGTCGGACAACTGCTTTCAGTGCTCACCGTGCAGTGATGAATGGATTCGGAATAAATAAGGCATGCAAACAGGAGCATCGTTTCTCTGTGTGTGTGTGCCAGTGAGTTGCAGATGAACTTACATTGTGGTCGCCGCGGCTGTGTTCCGATGTTCTACGCTATGTGGTCACGGCGCGTTTCCACGCCAGTCTGCAGTCAGGCTCGCTTTTCCGCAATGAGCCGCCGATAATCCGTCTCTCATCGGTGGCTGGCCCCCCGGGAGCCCGGGCTGCTGCACGGGGGTTTAGCGCTTACTCGCATTTCCTCCCCCCCTCTGCCCCACCTCCACCTCCACCTCCGTCTCTTTAGTCATTCATAAAAGCGGAGCTCGGCACCGTCCCGAACCAACCGAGCGAGCGACCGCAGAGGCGCACCGGACAGCCCCGAGCCGGTGGAGCAGCGGAGTGGGTGAGAGCAGCAGCAGCGCCCATGGGCGGCCAGGCGAACAAGTTGCCGAGCAGATTCACGGCGGCGAGAGGGGCAGCAGCTCCGCGGCGCAGAGTCCAGACATGAGAATCCCCTCGGCGGCGGGAGCAGAAAGTCACGGGCAGATGTTCGGAGAGGCGGGGAGAGAGGAGCGGCGGAGGGGAACCGAGACGAGAGGGTCCGCGCCTGACTCAGCAACGCGCACGCGGACACATACGCCAAAGCGCGCGCCAACTCACACTAGCACAACGAGGCTGCCGACGTCCAGGACGCAGAGCTACTGCTTCGCTGTAGTTTGCTTCATATGTTCTCCTTTTTCTATTCCTTAACGAAGGTGAGCTTTGTCTTCAGTGGACCAATTGCTGCTGTCCTGCTTGTCCTCGCAGAGAATTAAACATTGGACACCGAAATGTTCGGGAAAATTCCAGAGTTGGTCCTGATGAATAAAGGGAAAAACTGTGATTTGTAATCCGGCATCATCTTTAGCCCCCTATCCAACACGAGGGCAGCGATGTTTTCAAGTTTCATTGCATTAGAAAAATGTCAACAAATCTAGAATGTCAAGCCAGTGTTCAGTTGAAAAAGCTCTTCATGTTAATCTGACACACACATTACAGTTCAGATCATTTCCATAAAACCATAAAATTTAGGTCTTAACCAGAAAACCACATTTACTGAACAGTTTGTCCATGTACAGCTAAAGTCTTCTAAGTTATTCTTACTACAAGAAGTTTTGGAATAATGTGACAATGGAAAAGGAGCACCCGTTTTGAAAAACTGCATTTAATAAAAAATTTTAAAAAAACCCGACCAGCTTCCTACTTGTGAATTTCACATCTTCCATATCAGAAGGCCTCTTTGCCATCACCTTAATCTCTAACTACTTTCACAGATTCTCCATCAGATTCAAGTTATGTCTCCAGATGAGCCACTTTCAAAGAAAACTAATAGCATTTTCTGTTAGATTAACTAATCAGGTAAAATTAAAAGGCTACACTAATGTGCTAATGATGTGAATAATATTTGGCTGAATGGTTTCGGGCGTAGCTTTCCTTTTTTCCTTTATTTCTTTTTTGTTTTAGACAGCTGACGTTTTTGTGTGTGCTTGTTGTGAAATATGTGTGGTGCTTTGTCTTGCACTTTTACTCTGCAGCAAGAAGGTCCTGGGTCTGAATTGTCCTCTACTTGGTGCACCTATAGTTTTAATCTGTGAATTGCAGATGGAGCATTGATGCATATGGACCTGAAAACGATGCAGGAAACCCTGTAATCAGCGACTATGTGTGAAAAATAAACAACCCCTTTACTATCTTATTGAGTTTTTCTTTTTACTTGTCAATCATACATTAAATTAAGCTACTCGATGTTTTTTTTTTTTTCTTTTCAGAAGCACGACTGCAAGATACCGAACGGTCTTCAAGGCTGTTTTGTTGTGGGGGTCTATAACAGGAGATAAATTAGATCTGGCCATCTCTGTTGGACAAACTCAAGGTCTTCTACTGCTGTTTTGTAGAGGTAGACAAGCCTGAGGACATATACATTTTTAATCAGAGCATCTTGTCTCATTCACAGCCGTGTAATGTGATCAAGCTTTAGATTTTAAATTCCCTGCAAACCATGCCGCTTGCAGGCCGCTGCCGTCCCTCAGGTAACCCCTGCTTAGCAGTTTTCTCACACTCTGGGCTCTTTATCTTGACAAACAACTCTCAGCTGACCCATTAGAAATGACCTTCAGCAGATAGTAGCTCCAGGATTGTGTCAGTTTGACAGCATAATAATATGTTAATATTTAATCCTTTGCAACTTCGCAGCCCCATCTCACTTATCAATCGTATTTGAAGTGTCAATAGAATGGAAAAAGCCTGTGAGATAGTAACAGAGGTCGTGTTTGAGGCTTACAGTTGTCTTCGAAGCCACGTTGTTCTGCGCTGTGTGTACAGTAAGCTGTTAAGTAATGCTTTTTTTTTACCAAAAAAATTTAAAACACTACACTATCCTGGCGTTAATTACAGCCACAAAGGTTGAAAGGCCACAATACAGTCACTTGCAAAAATATTCACTTTTCCCCCATTCTGACAAATGAAAACCATAAACATCAATGTATTTTGTGGGGATTTTTATGTGTCAAAACAGATGAACCTGACCTTTATTGTGAAGAGGAAGAACAATGACCTATGACAATCAAAATTTCTTACAAATAAAAATCTGAAAAGTGTGCCTTGGCCCTTTACTCTGTGCAAAATGGAAAGAATAATGCATAACAGCTCTGCAACCCAACTAAGGCATTGCTTTCCAACTAAACTCACAGAGCCAGCAAGGAGAACAAGTTCCTCAAGCTTCCTCAAGCTCCTCAGAAGCTTGAGGAACCCACAGCTGTCTGGGAGAATGTTAGTGTTGCAAACACAGTGGCCATTAGCAGAAATATCCAGTGAAATATGTTGCTACTTTGTGGTTTTATAGTGAAGAAAAATGAAAGAAAAAAAACAATTCAAGGAGCATGAGTATGATTGAAAGGCATGTGATGGTACAACATAAGGCAATTAATTCCACAAAATGTTTGTTTTGTGTCACCTACTACTTTAATAATTAAAAAAACTAGCCACTTATGTTGCATGATGCTGTTATTTTTTAATGCAAATGATTCTCCACACCAGGACTGTATTGATCACTATAAAGCTTTTTTATCACATCGATCCAGCTGCATAATTCATGAGGGAGAGATGGAGGCAAAGAGAGTATGGAAACATGCGGCTACCTCGTGGGACTGAAATGATTAATTTATCAAACATATATATTTTAAACTTCTACACTAAAGGAGGTTGTATCTTGGCTTGTATCAATGAACATCCTTGCAAAAGTCACAGTTCATTCTGAGATCAGCGGGAGAAACTTCACTCATCCTCCTCATCGTCTTTCATCACAGGCATGTCCCCCTCAGACTCCTCGGCCCTGGCTCTTTCCACCTTGCCTTTTTCTCCCTGGTAGTAGTCCGAATCGACCCAGTTTGGGATCATGACGAGCTTGACAAAGACTTCCCCGTTTTCCTCTGTGACAGTGTGGACCCTCTGCTTCACCCCCTTGGAGTACCATCTGAACACCGGCGGCTTCTCCTGGGGGTTACGGCCCCTGTACAAGCCCTCGCCCTCGGCCAGAGTGATCTTGTACTTGTGCTTTGGACAAATTATGCACAGCTTGCCGTTGATGTCCTGTGTGTAAAGCGTGTTTGTTTGGAAACAAAGCAGGTGGGTAATATGTTAATGCAATGCAAATTTGACATGGTAATTACAGTAATTCTCTGCGTCTCGGCCCAGCAGGAGCTGGTAGGTGATTAGGGTACAGATGGATTAACATGTGAGAGCAAACTCTGGGTGAAAATAAAGACTTAAAATGCAGCGCTCCGACCTGACCTACACAATATTATAGGCTAATCTGACGCGAAGTCAAATGGAAACTCACCTCTATGTCTCCATTCTCCAATGTTCCTCCGGCATCTGCATGAAGAACACAAGTTTTCCTTTTTTTTTAACAGAAGACAAACAATATGGCTGTATCCTTCTACATGCATTGAGAACTGACGTTCTGCACATGGATAAATGCAGACTTTTATACACTGTTCTGCAAAAAGGAATCCTGTAATCCAACATAAACCCAGTTTTCTGAAAATTTACTTGCTATTTAATGCAAATTATTAAGACTGTAGGGAGTTGAAAATGTGTTTCAATACATTGTAAACATCAAATCTTAAAAATACGACCCTATAGGGTCAGTGGTGGCAATGTTCATAAGGCTGGCCAAATCAGGCCAGGAAAAAAAAAAATCAGTCGGGAACAGCAAAGAAAAATTGTAAAAAGTAAATACAATTAATTTTATTTATTTACATATTAATATATGTTGTATTTATTTACTTATTAATTTATCAGGTTTTATCCCTGTATTGAAGAAGTTGACTCTGTATGCCTTCCTTTGACATGAACGCGATTCTCTGTGGAGGCCAGTAGGGTTCCCAGAGTGCCATGACAGTAATTATCATTATTATCTATAAGTCAAATCAACATTAATAGTGACAAATCTTCCAGAAAGTTTGATTCTTATTTGCTTTAACTGATCAAGTAATGACAATCTTCCATCACAGGACAGAACAAATTGTTCTGCTCATTAAAGTCTGATGCCTGGTAATGAAATTCTCTGATATGCAAGAAACAAATTTCTGAATTGCCACTAGAAAACTGCTACTCACGGTAACAGTAGCAGTCCAAAGCATAGAAGACTCCCTGATGGTAGATAATCAGAACATCTCGACCCTCCAAAGTCCGGAAAGAGCGCTTTGCTTTAATCAGTTCCTCCTTCTTGCCGACGAAGTGAAGTCGTCCAGACTGCTCCTTCTCCTCCATGGCTCCCTGGGTGAGTCTGTTTCAAGATGCAACAAAGTTTCTCTGATTTGTGTTAATTTGAGAACTTTCACTACATCCTGAGCGACTTGTGGAAAGATTTGGTGATTTTTTTTAATGTTGTTTTTAATTTTATTTTTATAATAAATTGTCAGTGGGATTATTGTGTTGGCACCTCACGTCTCAGTTGTCAGCTTAGATTAAGCCCACAACACCTCCAGAACATTTAAGCGAGAACGTCCTCAGCACTGATCATCTTTTCTCCCCGCACTTTGAAAACCATTAATCCCTAATATCTGCCTCGTCATCGTTTACTAAACATCCACCAGATGTCTTTGTCAGAAATAGGAAGAGAAAGCCTTTTTTAAAAAAAGAAATAAAAAGAACAGGTCCTGATGCGAAACCGCATTAAATAAACGACCTATATAGAAATGGGATCTATGAAACGACGGATCCAGCTAGATTTTCCAATATTACTGCCTCCAGAGGCCACGGTGCTGCATCGTGAACATGTGCAACCCCCAAAGAGGCAGCACATTTCAGAAATGTTAGATAAAAATCTGCTCCATGTACAGAAAAGTGGAATAATGAGCTCTGCTGTGTCACAGGCTGAAAAAAGCTCTTTATTAGCATCAAAAGTAACATCTCTTGTAGCCCCTGGCCAAAATAAAGAAGAGGAAGAAAGTCGAAAAAAAGAAAAGAAACTATTATACAATGATAATTTCATAACACTGAAATGTTGTGTTATGAAAAATGAATTGCTTCACATTTGGATGATCATCCCAAAGCCTGCTGGAGGAAGGAATAGACCCAGAACTAAAATTACTTGAAGTCCAGCATGAACTTTCCAAAGTTAGTGATGACTTAAGACAAGCGTGCCATCTTCTGCTGAGGTTGGGCCTCCTGAAATCTCTAGAGAATCAACAATGTCTTCTCAAGTGAAAGATGACAATCATCTGAGCCAACGAGGTTAAAGTCAAAGTTAAAAGTGATCCTAACTCACTCAAAGAGCCAACGCAGCGCAGACGAATCAACTCAGGCAAACGACGATCAGACATTTGCACAGGTCCGCATTTCTGTATTTCAAGTATCGTTTTAACTGAAAACTGTAGATTGTCACTATCCATAAGCCAAAGTCATCAAGCTTGACAAAAACAAATACTCCAAATACGTCGAGCGCGTACCAAAACCAGCAGCGCATACAAGTTCCCAGTCTTGAACTGAGTGAACTTTTCAATGTCACTTTGATTTAAAGAGATGTAAACATGAAAAATATATATATATCTACTGTTTTGTTTTTTTTTTCTTAAAAATGACAAAAGACGATTTAGCTCTCACTCTGACTTACCTTGAAACCCAGCAGCTGTGACTCCTTCGTCAAAATGAAGGACTGCTCTGCTGACAGCTCAGGGGTGAAGGGAGGGCTCGTTTCTATTATCTCCTTGCACAGGCTGCCTTCAGTTGGTCCAGCCTCCTCTGGGTCTGTTCCTTATCTAACCAGCCTCACACATGAAGCACACTCTATTAATTCTGATGACATCTGAGGGTCTTAGCCTTCTGCCTCTCCCACACAGTCTGTTTGATGGAGCAGAAGTGCTTCTTCTTAATTATTTAGCCCATTTGTTTTACATTTATTGCAGAGAATCATCAGCCGCTTCACGAGACACTCGTAGACATGTCGAGTGCGGACAAGAAATGGGATAAACGGGGATGTAAAATTGTGAAATGTCTAAAGCTCTTGCTTTGAGAAGTGATTTGACTCTGGGTGGTTCTTTGCGGTCTGTGATTATTTGTGAAAGAGCGGTCCAGAAGGAGAGCTTTGCATGGCTAAGGCGTCTTCTTTTCCAGGTTCTGAATTTGTCATGGAGGGATGGGTCTGTTGGAAGGTTTGATGGCTATGCAGGCTTCTAAGACTGGAAACCATTGTTGAAGACACTATCCAGTGGTGTGTATACTTTCACAAACAAGTCATACATTTTAATGTGTATTTAAAAAAAAAAAACTTTAAGTTCTACAATATAAGAAGCCATAACAACATTTTGGAAAACCTTTTTCAAAAAGATTTCACTGTTTATGTTGGTAGAGACTAAGTCACACTGAGAGTGTAACAAAGCAGTAGCCCTGAAATTGATTTTATTGATTTTTTTTTTTTTACAAAAACAAAATGATTATGAAGTTAACATTTTAAACTGCAATTGATACAATTGCTTTATACAGTCATCATACTAGAACAATCTTTGTCTATTCCAACAAGGCTGTTGGTTCTCCCCTTAACAGCTGCCAGCATTTTCAAGTCCAGCATCTTTAATCTGATAGAGAACAATCGGATAATAAAAACACTGATCAGATTATGTCAAACTTGCTCTGTTGTGTCTTTTTGAGCTTAAATTGCAGTGAAAGCTGGGGAAAAGATGTAGTGTTAAAGTGTTTCCATGTCGTGTTTGTTGATGTATTTTATCTCGATGTTATTCTTTCTTTGTTTTCTTCTTTTTGCCTTATTAATTTTAGTTTATTCAGCCTATTGTTCAAATTGTTCAATAATACACAATGTCCCTCTTCTGCAAAAATATTAATTTTGTTCTTTTTTTTTTTTTTTTTTTTTTTCCCTCTACTCTTTTTATTTAGCCTCGTATTGAACCTTTTCATAGCCGGGAAATGTATTTAGACCTTCTGGTTATTAACATTAGCAGGTGAGGTGAGACAGACTGTTTCCCACTGGAGCCCAGTGCAACAACAGCGCAAACCTTGAGCGGAACTAATGTGTCGGTCTTGATCTGCAGTCGGACGAATTTACCTGAAGCGCATCTGGCTCACTGGGGCTCTGAGTGGAAATATCTCTGAAAACAAAACAGTAAGGCGTCTACTTTATCATTCCTAGCAGTCTCTGTGGATGAAACTTTCCAAAACATAAGAGAAGATGGCTCTGCGGGCTTGTGGGTTTATAGTGTTCCGTCGCCTCGCCGGCCTCAACTCCCCTGCGGGGGACATCGAGTATCTCCTCTTGCAGACTTCCTACGGGGAGCACCACTGGACCCCACCCAAAGGTCACGTTGACCCGGGTGAGGATGACCTCACCACGGCTCTGCGGGAGACCCAGGAGGAAGCAGGGCTGGGGGCGGAGCATCTGAAGGTCATCGACGGCTTCGTGCAGGAGCTGCGCTACGAGGTCCGCGGCAGACCCAAGGAGGTGCTGTACTGGCTGGCCGAGCTGAGGAACCCGGAGGCGGCGGTGACGCTGTCCGACGAGCACCGGGACTACCGCTGGGCCCGGCTGGAGGAAGCCTGCGGGCTGGCGGGGTACAGAGACCTGCAGGAGACACTGAGGGCCGCTCAGAGACACTTGGAGGCTCAGCTGGACTGAAACTGAGCGAGGAGCGTTCAAATACATTTTTTTGTGGTTGTTTTTTTTTTTGGGGGGGGGGGGGGGTTAAGTTAAATATTCTTCTCCCTCTGCATCTATAGATTCTGCACTTCAATCTACCGAGAAGTGAAAACGAAAGGAATGAATATAAGACGCAGATGTCAAATGATTTCAAGCATCTTTGAACTAAACAAGCAGCTGAAATGAAACACTTCGGGTGACCGGCGATGAGTTTTAACGCCAACTTTTCTTTCTTTTCATAAGTTAAACTGTCTTAAAAAATAATTCGTATGTTTACTGTTAAAAATCATCTCTTAATCTGGAACAAAAGTTCCTTTGATCTGACCTATCCGGGTTGCCTTTGGAAACACGTTTATGCGTCTGTGATGATATACTTTATGGACAGGTACTCAATTGGCTTCAGTCACATGAAGATCCTTAAATAAAGACATTTTAATGAAAGAAGAAACTTTTTATGTTATGACATCGCCTCATGCTCACCCTTTGACCTTTGATGATTGTTGGAACAGCTCAGGCTCTTCATCCGACTGCATTGTCATTTGTAGACACTAGACTGTACCACCAGGGGGAGACAAACACAACGCCACGAAGCTTAAAGAATATTGTTGACGATTAAAAAAATTAATGCTGCACAGAAGATGAGCGTGCAGCTTCATTACTATGAACATGTAAGAAATGGTGGCCTCGTTGAAAGCACGCGTGTTTTTATTTCACACAGGGGTTTCATCTCATCAAAAACATTTTTTTTATATATTCAGGCTGGACGGCTCAGATAAAAACAACAGTTTTCTGTTGAATAGCTTTAAAACTATTCCTGAGTGTAGATTAGTAAAACTGGACCTGAAGGAGTAATGCTTCCTTCTGTTCTTCCCTGCAACTGAATGAGGTGAAAATAGATTTCTTCGTTGGCACTTTTTCTTCTTGAAATGCTCTTTAGCTGATGGACAGCATGAAACAAAAGCTGTAAAAATGATTGAGTGCTTTGGAGCCATACACCAACCACAAAAGCCAAAGTACAAACGTGGCGGAAAGAAGCGACAGTCACCGATCAAGGACCAACTTTTATTTATTTCTTAATGACTTTACAACTTGAACACAATTAATTTTACTCCTGCATACTTTTCAGCTTTAGCCTGAAGACCTGCTTTCTTCAAGGTTTCGTGTTTGATGATATTTAGGCTCGGCGAGGGATAGCCAGTCATTTTACAATCAAACCCAACACCGAAGGGGGGTTTGCAAAAACGGAAAAATCTGCACCCTTGCAACAGAAGAAAAAATAAATAAATCGAATGATACCAAACATGGATCAGCATCAACAGGATGGACATTGTGGATGCGTCTATCTTTCAGTAGTGACATTGTGGAGTTTTTGGAAGGGATTTGTTTACACAAGACACATTAAATTAACTAAAAGATTTCAGGTTTTTTTTGTGGGGCTATATGTAGGGATTTTGCAGTTGTTTTTTTTAATAATAGCTCTTGCCTTCCTCCGTTCTGCCTTATAAAAACCAAGGCCAACATTTGGTTTGTAACTGGGTGATGCTGTCGCTCCTACCGGGCCTGAACCTCAGATCTGAAGCTTTGCCAGGAACTGACACTGGGCTCTTGAGCAGATGTGGAAATTTATTTCACATCCTCGAGAAAACCGATACAGCTCTTTGGTATGTGTGGTAAATACACGAGCTACTTCACCAAGTTAGCTCGCTTAGTACAAGTGGAAATCAGGGGCACAATTAACCCATTTCAGTGTGAGGTCACGTCTGAGGTCACGTCTCCTGCTCAGAGTGTAGTCCAGCACAGAAACCGAGTCCAAGTAAAAGCACAAACTGTGTTTTTATTTCCCCAAAGGTGCTCATTAGTACCCCTTATTACTGCTGGACAGAGCCCCTGAGCCAGACTTGTTGTTTTTTTTCTCTAAATGCTAAATAAGCTAACCAGCTACAGCTAAATATACAGGATTTCCCCCAATTTCTTTGCTTTGGTTACTTGGATTTAGATTTTAAAGTTTGGACTCTTGGAAGTTCACTAGTGCGTTTTTCAGTCGCATGGGAGGATTTTCCAGGAAATGGTAACTCTGATCCTTCAGCTGTACCATACAGCAGCGAAGAAATGTCACTTTTTTCTAATGGGCACGTTTTTATGTTGCAAGGAGGCACAGGGAAGCTCTGTGGGTCTGTAAAGGTTGCGGATCATAATGCAGACAGTTGTTTTCCCTTTTTCAAAATCAATTCAAACTCAGCAGCAGAACCACAGAATCACTGATAAGCCAAAAACATTTCAACCCTTCATTCCACACTGAATGTTATAAAGACACACAGGTCTATGATGAATGAACAATAGTAATTATTCACTTTTTGTTGGATTCAAAACCACGACCTCCATCAATGACTGTGCAGCACGTTTTCCAGTTTTTTGTTGATTTTTTTTTTGGTAGGTGCATGTTAGTTTGAATTTTTCACTCAAATTTACATTTGAGTGGCTGTTATATCTGCAAGTTTAGAAAATGCATTAAGATTAAGAACATTTTCAGACCTCGGTCAAATTAACTGAGAGCGTGCATTGTTGTTTTTGAGTTTAATAATAATAAATAAACTAATTTATATGCTGTGATGCATAACTAGGGGGGAAAGTAGAATATCTTATTTTTTTATGTCGGACTCGAAACTACATCTGGCATAACACTTCCACAATTTTGTTTTTTTAATGTTAAAAGCTTGTTGGGGAAAAAAATAAAACAAAAAAAAACATGGAATCTGTCAAAATTTGAATTATCAGAGCGGTCCTTATAGAAATCCAGAAGTTGTTCATTCTTATTGTTCCATCTGCACTAATAATGCTTAGGAATAAAATGAAAATTGGGATTTGGCAAGTCTGAACGGGAAGAAAACTAGAAATTAGGTTTGGCCAGCGAAAACCTGATAGCCGCATCACTTTAGTGGAGATGCCATGACCCAGCAGTCCAATTAAACCCACTTAAAGTGACTCCTTAAATGTTAAAGAAATTAATTACTGCCTGAAAGGGGGTCAGAATGGCTAGGGTGATTTTCACTTCATGATATTATAGCTGATCTGTGCACATCACATCATGTTTAACAATTCATCTCGGAGATAGACAAGGTTGGTGCTTTCGAATCGTTAGCAGGGGTTTACGTTTGTGCATGATTGGGACTGAGTGGGTGTGGGGGGAGCAGAAGGAGGCAATATTTAGAGACAACCAGAGATCTGTGGGCATCTTTCCGAATTATGTTACAGGTCCACTTTCTTCCCCAAAGAACAGGCCCAGGAGAAACAGCTGAAAACTCCTTCAGCTTCACATTAAAATTCAATGGGTATCCTATAATGAGTGTGAAAAAAAAAACCCAAACAAAACATGTAAATCCTCAGCATGCTTTTCAGATGAGGCCTCGTGGGGTTGTTTGTGTCCGTGGCGTAAAGATCCATCCGTTTGAAGCGAGCGCTCAACGGGACGAGAGACTCTTAGAACGCAAAGTTTGTGTGAGATTCCTGTGTTTTGAGTCGGTCACGTTGTGCTGGTCAGCATGTTCATAAAGCTTAATACTAAGAAGGTCTGTTATTTTTCCTCAATCCCTCAAATCTCCAGCCAATCCAGGCCGGCGGACAAGCAGGAAATAAGAGACGAGTTCTCTCTCTCTCTCTCTCTCTTTCTCTTTCTCTCTCTCGGGGTGGAAGTTTCATTCATTGCTCAGGTGACGAGAGTCTGACTGTATTCCAATGAAGGGACGTTTGGGTGAAGATTAAAAACTTGACATCATAAAGAACAAAAAAAAAAATGCTAAAAGTAAATGCTCTCACACACACGCGCAGGTAACAGACAATCAGTGTCTTATTTAAACAATTTTTTTCTGTTGTTTAAAACAGAAATACATTTTCAATACTAATGAAGTAGCATTAAAGCACAAGTTTGAGTCACAGCAACATTTATTATTTTTTTTAACTTCTTCTCATCAACTGCATCTCAATGTCTGGCTTGTCTAAAGGAGAAGTCCCTATAGAGTAATTCTGATTCTCTTCACAAAGCGAGAAGAAAACCCAAGACAAAGCAGCCCGACCTGGACCGAATGCAACATTCGGAGGTGTGTGAACGCTCACATGTGGATCGGAAGCCAACAGAGCAACGTGGTCTGACAATGAGCAAGAAAAGAACGTAAAGAGGAGTCGTTTGGTTCCGAGGATCGTCACCGATCGTCTGTTCTCCAAAAAGGAAACAAGTTTGAATGGTTGAGATACGACAGAGAAATTGAGTTACAATACCTTGAAAAAAGTATTCAACGCCCCTTGAATCTTTTTTTTTTTTAAAAAAACAAAACAAAAAAACCCAACAAAATCACTTTGCATCCATAAAATACACGTGTTCGAATGACAGACAAAGTTCAGACATACGTTAAGATTCTTTGCAAGATGACGCTGGACTGTTTTGCTCCATCACATTAGATCCCAATACATTACTGGGGTTTATGGTTGCAGTGTGGTATCGGCGATGGGGCATCGGACATTTTTCCAAAACACTGGAAGACAATCAAGTGAAAGTCAAACGGAGAACTTTGAGAGTTGAGAGGACAAGCTGCCCAGCTCATTGATCGCCTAATGAGCCAAAGGGCCAAGGGTCCCACTCACCAGACCGCCTGAGACGCAGCAGGAAATATAAGAGACGAGTCAGAGAACACATAGTCTCAACTGGGTAAATGGGAAAACGGCTGCAAGAAAACGCACCATGAATCCAATCTCTCTCAACTCCAGGCAGAAAACGCAACTTATTGTCATCATTTATCAGCAACAGCAGCCTGTCAAACTCAAACGACAGCGCTTCGTTTCATTTTTTTAATGAGCACATTTTCACTAACGAAGTACTCATGTACTAAAATAAACCTATTCATTAGTTTTTCAACAATAGTGGCATTGTCAAGACAAAGATTGCACAAAGTTTCTTCTGTCATTTCAAACCTGGGCCAGTCAGACTCCAGATGGCGTCCAGGAAGCACGCTGACACAAAGCCAAGCGACACAGCAAGGATGAAGAGTAATCAAAGTTTCGTGAGTGTAATAAAAATATGACAGGGACTGGTATAACATAGAAATTAAACTGGATTGGTGATGTAAATATTCAAGAGGACGGTCGTCCAGTTTGACGTTCGCATGCTGAAAAATGACTGAATGCTTGATAAATCTAAAATATGGGTTTTAGTAATATTTTTAAGAATCTCCTACACCGGGCTGGAATAATTTGTTTACTAAACATTAGACAGAGTGCAAGGTGTTGTTAAGGCAAACGGTGAGAACACCAAACTCTGACTTTAAGTGGAAAGAGTTCCAACAACCATCTGTTGCAAAGTTGTTGTTTCTTTTTTTTCTTTTTTTTTTGACAGCATGTGAAAACATTGACTCAATCAAACTTGTATCAGTTTAACAAATCATTAAACGTTTTGGCAGTAGACTTTTGACCCCACTGTTTGTGCAAACACATGCACACGCGCACACACACACACACACACACATCCACATACTCTGAAAAATGAAAGACGACTGCAGGACTAAATTGGCAGGGAGGATTTATCTTCCAGATCATCATGAGTCTTCGTTGCCAGAGTCGTCCTGGTTGTCATAGTGCCTGGTGGATGTCCCACCGTCCTCCAGGCAGCTGATGGCCCCGGCCTCGCCCACGGACTCCATCTCGCTCTCGTCTTCGTCCTCGTCCTCCTCCTCCATGTCGTCGTCGTAGAGGTCGTCGTAGAGCAGGTCGGAGCTGCTGTCCTGAGAGGGGACCCGGGTCTGAACGCAGTACTCGGCCAGCGTGGTCGGCACCTTCACACCGTCCCGCTCAGCCTCCGCCGCCGTTGACAACACCTGCTTCCTGCAGCCAAGATGGCGGGGGGGAGGGGAGAAAAAAAGACCAAAAAAAAATAAACAACTAAGAATTTGAAAAAATGTGGAGCTTAGTGTTAGGCTTAAAAAACCGCTTCTCTTAAAACTGTTAGGTTTAAACTGCATCTCACTGAAACAGGACATCACTAAATATGGCAGACTTCAAAAATGTTTCCTTCTGGAGAAACGTGACAAAAAGGTGAAACTTTGGAGATGCAGATATAATGTTTCATCCAGTCGCTGTTCAAGAATGATGTAAATCTGGTCGGTCCAGCACAGGCGACTGATGTGAATGGAGACTATTTCTTTATCAGGATAAAACTACCAACATCATTTTCTTACAATGAAAACTGTTAAGTACAACACAAAGTATTTGACTTTTCACAACCAAGCTCATTTAATATGACTTGGTGTGTCTAAATCAGCTTTTATTTGATTTATTAAACCTGGCTAAACATACCACGCATTTGAAGGAAAGTGACCAAGTCCTGGTCTTAGAACAGAACAAATTTCTAAATTAGAATTAGTAAACTCCACGTCTTTCCTTTAACACAGCCTTGAAACTCCAAAACAATTATGTAAAATCCTCTTTACGTTTTGGATCTACAATGAAAAATAACCTTTTCCTACAAAAAAAGAAATCAAATTACTTTATTTACTTGACTTTTTATTTTGGCCCAGGTGGCGAAAAGCTTGGACACTACTGGCTTTTCATTTATTGGCCTGATGCAACATTTGCATTTTCCGGAGGGTAAAGCTTGTTTTTTTTCTAAATAAACAGGGAAAAAAGCCCACCTTAAATAGATCATTCTGTGTGTAATGAATCTAAATAACACCTGAGGTCAATGTTTCGAAATGAATCACTAAAGTAAATTAACTGCATGCAGCAGAGGCGCCCGTTCACAGCCACTGCGCTGCGTTACCTTATAATCTCTGCATACTCTTTATCTTTGCCTTTGCTGTCCCTCCACTTGCGAAACATGACCGAGGCGTCTACATTGGCCGGAGAGAAGGTGTTGGGCTCGTTGAGCAGAGAGATCACACTGAGCAGGATCGTCCTGACGGCGGAGAGAGCACAGCAACATGTACACACAGTCAGATATTGGATCGCATCGGCGCGGTCAGAAACATTATGCTCAGCCCGCGTCCCCCAGGTGGCTCAATTACACGCTACCTCCACTCTGCTCAAGTTCCCAAACACGGACTCAGCAGTTTCCCTCAGTGATGTGAATCCTGCTGACGGGCTAAATTTAGCAGTTATTCAACAAAGCTGCGCTCTCAGTGTGTTCCCCCTCCACCCCACCTCCTTTTTTTATTTAGAACAAAACCTTATGTTTTCTAAATTAGCATCAAACTGTAACAAAATCCATGAGAGATTGAAGAGACAAGTGGGGCCTCTGTTTCATTTTTGCTCTTTATAAGATGTACAAAATAAACAGGTATTTCTTTAGGGATTACGCTGCTTTCAAGTTGTGATCCAAGGCAACAAAAAAAAAAAAAAAAAACACCAGTCGTCCAGTGTTGCAGAACGAGGCGTGTTGCAGAGGGAGTACCTGACGTTCTGGGTGGGGTTCCACCTCTCAGACGGAAGCTCCCCGCTCTGGGGGTCGTCGACCGGGGGTGCAAAATGGAGATGCACACATCTCCGTTCTGGAGAAGCAACAAACGGCACACACACACGAGAAATGCTTAAAAAAATAAAATCAGTAAGAGATTTTACTGACATGTCATCAAAATAGGACAGATATTGCTTCATTGTTCTTGCCTTCCTCTTAATCCCTCTTGGGCTCACGGCGGTGTTAATGATTGGCGCAAAAATGGCACCAAAGTCACATTTGTGTGCTTATTTCGACTTTTTAAAGGCAGACGTCTTTAGGTTTTGATTCAGTGAGCAGGCTGTTTGAGTTCAAATACAAGTCTTAATCTTTTACCTTCTTTTTTTTTTTTTGTCTTTCTCTCTTGCTCCTGCTTCTTTGTTTTGCATTTTGAAGCTCAACGTACAACCTGTTTCTGTTACGTGATTATTGGATTTTCATTGCAGCACAGTTTACTTTTCCTAAGTCCTTAGTAAATTCGAGTGAGGCTGCGGGATTATCCTCATGGTGTTTCCCGACAAGATGAATGAGGTGTGCTTAGGAAAAAAGAAAGAAGGTTTTATTTTACTCTCTTTTTACGATAAAAAATTCAATCTGCGCTCTGAGGGCCGATGACAACAACCATTTTACTGAAGCACAGGTGTGAGTTAGTGTTTCAGCCTGGCTGTGTGATGGTCTTCTGTGGGACACAGTTTTTTCACCCAATATACTTCTCAGAAAGGAATATAAACTTGCATTGAACGTAATGCAACGGACTGGAACAAAACCAAAGTAGCAAAATTTGAACAACAAAATCTCTTTCTATCCTAGGTCGTTGCAAAGTTTGCATGCACCTTTTGTGGAGCAAGAAAACAAAATCTCATCAATTTGAGTCCTTAAGCACTTAGCATGAACCTTGTTTTTGCCGCAAATGACGAGTGTAAGCTGGAATAAGTCTTCATTTTTGACGGCTTGAGTCACATATTTGGAGCCCAAAACGTGAATCAGACATAAATGCAACCCTCTTATTTATCCCATCTGAAATCTGTTTGAGGAGAAACAGTAAGACAAAAAAAAATCAGATATTTATTGAAACAAATGTTATGAACCAAAACACTCTCGTTGCCTAACGCGTGTACAGGCTGTCACTGAAACGCTACTCATGAAGTAAACAACAAGTTCAGTGCAATAGAAACTTTAAAAGCCATATGAGCATCAAAAGTGAGCATTACATCCAGATCAGCTGAAAGCTCTCACCTCGTAAATATTTGGGTGCCACATTTTGGTGAGGAAGCGAAACGTGGGAGGGGAGTATGGGTAGTCAACTGGGAACTTGATGTGAGCCTGGAAGAATAAACAGAGAGAGTTCATGTAGAATATGTACTTTTGAGCCTTTGCTGGGACCTCAGCTGTACAGAGTCAAATGACAGGCGACTTTATCCTTAAACTAAATGTAGTCCAGCGGAGTAAAAAATAAAATCACTTCTATTGGTAAAGTAACTACTTTATTCTACAGTATAAAAAATGTAGAATAAAGGAAGACTTTAATACAACTGAATTGTGACAATTCAGCAAACTGTTCACGTTGCAAGTTGAACTAAAATGCTTCTTTACAAGACGGTAATTTTTGAGTAAAATCTTATACTTCAAATGTTGACTTGGAGTAAACTTCACAAAATAGATCCCTTTCTGTCCCGTTTTCATCAATTCTGTCCCTACCGAAGAAAAACATCCCCGCAGCACAGCGCTGCCACTACCGTGCCTAACTTTGAGGATGATGTGCAGTGTTTGGCTTGCTCTTCAATAATGACTTTCTTTAGTGCTGCAATAAATGTGCTGTTTACTAAATAAGTCATCTTCAAGTCAATTTGTTTTTTATTTATGTAAGGGTATCACAGTAAAGTGCTTTTCAGGATTTGTAAAAAATTATTTAAAAAAAAAGCTCATATTGCTTTTCTTCCTCTGAACGGTGATGCACTTCCTGGTCCTAGTTTACCACAAAAAATACCAATAACATACATAGGAGTGTCGGCAAAACGTAGAAAAGTTCAAGGGTTACAAATAGTTTTGCTATTCACTGTAATTCTAGTTCAGTTTTTTTCCCCCTCAGTTTATCACTGTCAAGTTATTAAGTATTATGCAGGGGAGCCTGGGTGTGCACCCAGCAGCCTCAAATTAGCTGCATGCCAGTCAGATAAGACTATCGTCAATCCACAGCCAATCACTGAATGGCCATGTTTTAGCATGAATATAAATATTGCCCGAGATTAGTATGAGTTTTACAGCTAGAGTTGGGTTATTTTATTTGCTTGAAAACTGAAGACGAGCACAAAGCATTAAAATAAAAACCACGTTTTTATCTTATTTTAAAACGACGATCTGTATGTCCTTTTTACAACCCCATGTATTTGCATTTAGTACATATTTGACAAAAAAAAAAAAAAAACTTGATTAAACTTCTAATTGTTCAGGAACCGCCGAAATTATTTGCAATGAAGGACATTCATGAGGGGGGGAAAAATGTTTTTATTTGTGTTAGTTAAATAAATATGTCAATGAAAATAAAATAAATATGCAGGTAGGATAAGTGTTTCCTAACCTTGATCTTGGGAGTACATTGCCCTGCATGTTTTAGATGTGTCCCTGTTCCAGCACATTACCTCAACAGCCTGCCATCACATTCTGCAGAGACACGTTAGTCATGATTCAATTTAAAAGATCAGGAAAATATCAAGTCAGGTATATCAGGACCTAAGAATACCTCAAACAGTAACAGAATTACACCTTTGTCGACATGTGAGTGGCTTGCCACTTCTTTTTCTGAGGTTCCACATGTTTTTATGTGTGAAGGGGTCATCCAACCACAAAAGATGTAAGCAAACACGAGCAAGCGGCCTGCATCAGCAGACATCAAGGTTTAGGGTCATAAAGCCCCTAAGATTTTCCATCACACCCCTCCCACACTTTAAAATCCAGAAACGAGATGCCAGACAAAGAGCTTGAGTGCCCCGAGTTCAAGCATTAAATTAAATCAAGCAACACATTTTCATATCAAAAATACCTTACTGAACCCAAAGGAAGATTAATTTCAATTTGTTTAAACAAAGACGAATCTTTACTGGAATATGTCCGAATTGTATTTTGACTTGAGGTTATTGATATTTGTTATTATAGAACAATAATTCTACTGCATAGCGAGAGCTCTAAATAGCAAGTAAATATATTTGCTAGCCTTCTACTTACTGAAATATTTACTTTCGACCACAGTATCCATATTTAGCTTCTATAAATCTGGACCCTGAGCCTTTTTCTAACACTTCTCTTATTTTTGTCTGCATGTGAGCTATATATGAGGATGAGGAAGTATTGTACGAAGTTTAAAAAAAAGGCAGAGCAAAAAAAAACCCAACTAATTATTTGACCTATTTTGTACACCCGTCGTAAACTCCAGCTACACCTGCAAGAACACAACCTCACACAAACCCGTGTCTGACCTGCATCTTCTGTCTTTCATCTGTCTTTTTTTTTTTTTTTTGGAGAAAGACAGATGAGGAGTCTAATCTTGCCCTCGCCTCCCGCTCGCTCTCTGTGCTGAAGTGCCATTTATAGCGGTCACCAAGCCAAAAATAGCTTTCTGAATTACAACCACCGTACAGTGATGAGGAGCGGAGACTGAGAATGGAGTCAGAATTAATGAGTGAAAAAAACAAAACAAAAACGACTCGCAGAAGAGGTCGGAAGCAGCATGAAGACGTAAATACTTTTTAGATCTGTAGGATGGTGGGACTCTCTGGGTTTGAGCAAATAAATTCAAATGGTCAACGCGATATTAACTTGGATGAATATATTTTAAGAGCCTTGCATTCCTGCTCTGCATGCAAATGTGTTCTATTGCCATCAAGATGCTGAGCTCAAGTTTTAAGGACATCGAGATGATGGAAGAGAAAAAGGAAAGCAAAGAAATTGAGGTCTAACGCAACCAATATCGTTACCGCAAAACTGAGCAATGAGTTCAAATTTTATTGTTTTCCTAATGTCACAGAGACATTTTCGGGACACCTTTATTTAATGTAAACGTTAATTTGGGGGATCATACAAAACTTTGGCGTTTCTGAATACATCCTTTGGACAATTCTTGCAGTTGCGCTTTTGTTCAACACTCGAAAGGCAATATTGCTTGCGATAAACCAAACTTCTCCTCTTTTCACTCGTTATCATCAAGATGTTTCCACCGCTTCTGTACCCTACAGCATAATAAGTTAACACTGAATGCATCCAAGCAGTTCTTAGCAACCATGAGTGCAATGTGACCATTTGTGCAGATTTCTCCCACCTTGAAATAGCCTCCTTCATACAGCGTATTGGGCGGTCCGAAGATGGCCACTTCCCAGTTGTAGAGGTCAGACTCTTCTACCAGGGTGATGCGGAAGCCCTCCACTGGCTGCTCCTGCAGGGACTTCAGCTCCATCATCAGGGCCTTCTGAGAACTAGGGGTTGCCTGGTGGGCCATGTTCATTCCACTTGTGACACCCAGGGGCCACAGATCAGCAAACCTGGAGACAAGACAAGAGAGATCATGAGACGGACGGATCCATTTGAAGGCACCAAACCGAGTCAACAGCTTGGAGACATCTCAGTCTCTCTTAACTTGGTGTAAACAGACAGAGAAACCAAAGTGCTACATCAAGATTTAAAATACAAACATGCTATGTGGCCTGTCAAGCTAGGCTTCCTCTGAGGCCCTTAAAGGTAGAACTGCAAAGTTTCTTTAAAAAAAAAAAAAAGTGTTTACCTCTGCCTCCTTGAACTAAACGTTTGTGTTTGCTCGCAGCAGAAACCTGAAAGGTGAACTCATTGGCCGGCCATGCTAACGTCGCCGTGCGAGCACAACAGTAAGCGGAGCGGTGGATTTCCTCCTGAAGCCCGTGGCTGCTCCTCGTGTTTTTCCAAATTCTTTTGTGTTGCCAGTGTTGACAGTTGACATGAAGACGCGAGTCTCGGTTGGAAGTCACCGTCTCCTGCGGATCATTCCCGGGCTCAGAACCGGGGTTTGGCCGTCCCTGCCATCTCCCCGAGCTACTGGTTCGGTTCGAACAGGCTCTCAACTGACCCCCGCTTGTTTATGTTTGTTTATCCGCGCTCCAGCAGTCTCAACTTCTCCACACGTCAGCTATAAACCCCCACCGAGCAACTTCGTACAAACCGAGCGGGTTTTCCGCCGTACTGTCGTCCCCTCCGGCGCCGCGGCGAGATAAAAACACGCAGGAACTCGAGCCCGTGGTCAGAGAGAGGACAGCAAGTAGGAGTTTTTTTTTTTTTTTTTTTTTTTTTTTCTAACACTCGCGAATTACACTGGCTTTTATCGATTTTTTATTTTCCTCCCATCGATGCTTCCGGCTATCATTGCGCGTGTCTGCAGTACGTAACGCGCGTACACGGTGACGTGCGCGCACCCAAGGTAATGTATCAAAAAAACAATGACAGCTTGTTCTAAATTTCATGAAGTTTCAGAAAGCGCTAATTATTATTTTTTATATATAATAATAATAATAATAAATATCGTAATAAAACTGAAAACATGAGCTCTTAGGAACAAGAGCTTGTTCACGTGGCCGTTTTTAAATCATAAAGCAGTTTTTTTATCTTTAAACGAGGTTGTATTTATTTTTGAAAAACATGTTTTTCAGCATCTTATAGCTAGGAAATGTGTATTGGTCTTAAATAATTAATGCACACTATCTACAAGCTTAAGAAAGTGAATAGAATATCCAGGTGATGTTAAATAAAGTATTTTACATTTCATCTACCATGAGCTTTACGATTAATTTCAAGCCCTTAGATTAAAAAACTTGCTGTAATTTTTTTTTTTTTTTTTTTTTTTTTTGCACCTTCTATATGTCACCCTGGAAAAAAGTTTTAGAATAATCTTTAAAAATCTGTTTTTAGTTACATCCCAAAAACTTCAGTACACTTCAGGGATCAGAACCAAAAAATGTTTTTTGTCTGAATGATCAAATATGATTCAAATGAGTATAGTGAATAATTGCATTGCTCCAGGTTATTGGTTTTTAATTGAGTTTGTGATAGAACTGTAAAAAACTATTCTTGAAATATGTCCAATATGTGTAATGAATTCACGTCTTATGAGTTTCACTTGAATTCAACTAGATCGAATAAATGAAACAAATCAATTTCCCGATCATAATGTTAGTCACTCAGATGCACTTCTGGACTGTCCTTGTTCAGCTGGTCATCTGGGTCTGACGTCGTGGAGCCGAGTGACGTCATACAGGAACCAGCAGAGGGAGCTTGACAAACCAAGATGGCGACCTACGGCGAAGCAGGAAAGAGGTTCGACTTGAAGTAAAACTGATTTTTCAAAGCAGTTTTTAACGGAGTGCCAACGTGATTGGGCGTCGTTTGGATTTCGTAAGGAAGAGACGGAGTCAATACCGGTGAGAAAGCGCTGATTTTAAATTTGCGGGGCAGTTGTTGAGCTGTGTGAGGGGCGGTGGCAGCACGTAACGTTTACAAGTCAGGCCACAGCCGAAGCTAAGCGTATTAGCATGAACTGTGGCGTACGCCGAGGACCATGACGCTCGCTCTGGCTGTGTTTGGCAGTGTGCACTCTCAGTTTGCCTCTTCTTTTTCCAAATGGCGACTAAAGTAAGCTACGTCGAGCTTTGAAACTTAAGCATTTTGACAGCGGCCATCGCGTTATCCTAGAAGTACGTGTTATTCCAGCTGTGGCTAAAAGACTCCAAATGTACTCAAATGTGTACAACTTAACGGTCTGACAGCTTACTATGAGCTGCATTTGACTCTTGACGGCTTACAATGGCCCAGTTTTAGTCACGTTAGCATTAGGATGTAGGGAATTTCACTCACTCGACTCCTGTCGTGTAAGTTAGCTAAAATATCCTTGCAGTTATCACTTATCTCTGAACTGTCTCAACGCACCCTGTTTCCGTGACATGCTAAGCTGTTGAACAGCAAAGCGGAACAGCAACTTTTGAAGGCATTGTATTATATAACTTTATCCCCGAGTACTATTAAGCGACTCACTGTGGGATGACTGCTCTGTTGAGGACTTCATGCTTGAAGTTAATACATGGGAAATCCGACATGGACACGCAGCGCTGCCTTGATCACCAGATCCAGCGGGTCATGAGTGGACCATGGCGGATTGACATCTATGCACACCAAAGGAACATTAGGGTTTCATTTAAAGTCGCAGTTTTTGCTGGCAAATACGTACTTTATGTCTGTGATTAGTACTTGATTAACTGCGTCAATAATTTGGTGATTACTTTGTCTCATCGGTTCAAAGTTCTGTGCGGTGACGGATTTGCTCCAGAGGTTCTTGTTTTCGTTACAACCAGGCTCTGTTGCTATGTGACAAAAAAAAAAAATGGAATTAATCTCAGATTCAAACTAGTTTTTATGCGTCTGTTTTGGAGAAGTAGGGGAGTTCTGATCAATGAAATCCTGTCAATCTTTGAGGCAGGATGGGGCCAGGGAGGCTTTCTAAACTAAGGATTAATCCCATTTTTAAACCAGAAAAGGATTCATCAGAGCTCTTTGAAGCTGCCTTTGGACTTCGATAAAAATCAAACCTCAAAGAAAAACAAACATCTGCATTAACCAGGAAAGGCCTTTTTTTGGTGGCTGTGTGCAGTATAGTCTCTGAAACGTTTCTATTTCACTTTGTATTTAGTTTATGCGCAATAATAATGTGGAGTGTATGGTTTGTGGCTTTACACACCTGTGGTCTAATTTAAGTAGTTTTTGAACCTAATGCCACAGTCATTTATACATTTAAACCCAATAAATAAATTAAAGTATTATCTTAGTATCTTATTCTAGTAATTAAGTTTGCGTCATTCTGTGTGTGTTTGCAAGGATTAATGACTTGCCAGTTTTCCTGCTTTATTTTAAACTACAATCTCACTAAAAACATTGAACTCGTGCACTGTTTTTTCTTTCTTTTTTCAGGGACTAAATGGCTGCGAGGAAGTCTGGATCAGACGTGTATAACAATGGTAAGACCTTATTTTGCTCAGAGGGTTAAAGAATGTGTAGCACAGATGCTTAATGTTCATCAGTTTTTGTAAACCTTTCACTTAAATAGCTTCTTTACAAAGTTAGTTGAATCTATTTATTTCTTTTAATTAGAGTATGCTATTTTAACTGTACAGTATTTTTCACATACTATAAATTTGCTCTTACTGTACGGCCTCAACTCTGTATGTTTTGTTCCTATACTTTTAAGCAATCAGTACAGCTTTAAGGGCCAAGATTGTGTTCACAAGCAAGGGTCTTGACTTCGGTTTATTCGCGCTCACACATAATATTTAGTGTAAATAGATAAACATTAACAGGATTTGAATAATGATTAAGGTATGATATGTACATGTATTTGCAGTCCTTTTTTTCACCTCTGTAAATCTGTGTGCTTCCATTTGCCTGTATCTTCACTGCTGTTACCCCGACCTGAGTCGCTGCGTTGAGGAAGAATAAAGGATATTCAATTCTGTTTTCTATTCTCTCATTTCAGTTGCAACTTCCTCACCAGAGAGTTTGTGTGGTGACTTGTTTGCATAGTTATAATGTGATCACCAATCAGAAAAAAGTTAGAATTTCTGACGGGCCAATTTTTTGATTCATTTCTACTTTAAGGTCGTATTTTTCTATCCCCCAGCGAAATGTTCGCTGGGAGATGGAACTTGCTGACGCCAGAGCAGCAGCAGCAGCAGCCAAGCAGGAGACATAGACACATAGACATATGGTGTCTATGTCTGTGCTTTAAGTATTTAGGGCTGCACTATATAAAATCTTGCAATGAAGATAACATTTATATATATATATATATCGCAATAACAATATCACATGCAATTTATGCCTTTTATCTTCTGTCCCCGCTTTCTCATCTGTGCTTCCATCACTCTTATCATTTTGTTGTAATGTCATTTTGGCCTCTGTTCAACTGGCTAAGTATTACATTAGCATAAAAAATGCAAGTTCACAACACTATTGCATACAGATATAGTGATGATGATATATTTGAAATATTTTGTGCAACCTTGACTGTATCCTTTCTTTCCTCTGCACAGGACCCATCAGCTACCTTGATGATGTTCCCTTCAAGATCAACGACAAATTCCGGCGTCCAGCTAAAGTGGGGTTACCTGTTGGTTTCCTTTTGCCAGATTATGGAGCTGTACTTGCAGACACAAAGGTACAGAGGGCATAGAGATATATTTTTTTCTATTTTTCAGTTACAAGTTGTGTAAAATGATAATTGAGAAAGAGGATTTCAATACATTCAGATCTACGTAAGTAAATATTTAAGGTGTAGCCAAGCAAAAGATATTTCCGTAACTGGAATTTTAACACCACCTGGCTATTGTGACTGATGTAATTACTTTTCCATCTTCCTTCTCCTTCCTTTTCTCTTCTGAACAGTATGATTTTACATTGGAGAGGCGAAGTGTTCGCTGGGGGATAGAACTTGCTGACGCCAGAGCAGCAGCAGCCAGAGCGGAGGAGGCAGCAGCCAAGCAGGAGGCTGAGAGCATAGAGTCTCTGTCTCGGGATGCTGATGGAGCAGCGGACGACCAGGACCTTCTACCACCAGCCATGAACCCGGTCCTTGCTGGACTCAGTCACAACGCCATCCTCACTCCACTGCCGGCCCCCAGACTCGGCCCCAGAAAATCCCAGGACAGCACTCCACAGCCGCAAAACCTCAACCTAGCCGACTTCGAGCGGGAGGAAGACCCGTTTGACAAGCTGGAACTGAAAACCCTGGATGATAAGGAAGAGCTGAGGAACATTCTGCAGAGCCAACCTCAGCCTCCGCCCTCTGTGTCTCCACCTCAGCAAGGTTCAGTATCTCGTGGAGATAGCCCTTCTCCACCCAGCACCAACACCAGCATCTCCTCTAAGCCAGGCTTTGCCCACAAGCCAAACGGCTTGGTTGCTTTGCTGGACATGGACAAAGTGGGGCATCCCGGCAGAGCGGGCTTTGACACGGACGATCGGCCTTGTAACATCCGCTCTCTGACGTTCCCCAAGCTCTCCGATTCTGGTGAACCGGAGTCGATAAAGTACAGTGCTGCACCCGTTCCCGTTCCTTCTCCCAGACGGACCCTAACCAACGGAAGCCCGCCAGCATTACCAAAAACACAAGTCATTGTTGCCCCCGAGTCACCCAACCACAAGAGTGGAACACCAAAGCCGGTGAGTGTTAAAGAGCACTCTGCACGTCTGCTTGAGGTTCAGGCAACTCTTTGATATTCACTCTGTTTTTGTCCTTTAACTAGGCCAACCCTGGAACAGGACCTACTGGTTTACCGTGCGGTGGCGCTCTCCTCAGCATGACGCCCAGTGAACGTCAGTGTGTGGAGACGCTTGTGGGAATGGGTTACTCTTATGAGGAAGTTTTACGGGCCATGCAGAGACAGGGCCAGAATGTGGAGCAGGTTGGTTACCCAAACATTGAATGCATATCTACATGCAGCCAATTAAATAACTTACTTTGAATTGCTGAGCATTAATACAAAACGGAGGCTCCTAACACGCAAGTGACTAAAAATATGACAGTTAAGTGAGCTTGCTGTGCAGAAAGGGTACACTGCTAAAGAATCTCCACTCTTGTCACATTTCTACTTATTGTAAACATTTTAATTGTTGCTTTGTCTTGTATAAGGATATGTTTTAGGCAAGCAGCTCTTTCCATTTAGCCTGCAACACACTTTTAACACTATGCAAGCTAGATATTATCAATTCTTGGTTGTAGCTCCTGTTACATTGTGCTGTGGAAGAACCAGAATTTGCTGGTGCTGGCAAATTCTCTTTATTGGTCCAATAATAAATGCAAGTTACAGGAGGAGAATGGGGTGCTCAAGGGTAAAATGAACAACAGGCAGTCGCTTACTAGAAAGAAAGAGAGAATAAATGCTTATCTGTTTTGAGAGAAATTCCATTGCACAATTATTCCAGAACATTTCTGTCGCTGCTTGATGTTTGTGGTTGGTTGTCTTTGGTGTTGGCCACAGAGCAATAATTCAAGTTGGGAGATAGAGATTTTCTTCCAATTCTTCCAACCAGAACATCTTGTCCAAGACCTCCAGTAATTGGAACAGCATGAACCCAGCTATACTGGAGATACATGTTCTCCTCTCTTTCCCAACTTTAAGAGCATTGCTCATATGTATCATGTCATTGAGAGTCTAGAAAAGCAGGAAACTATGGATAAATGATCTAAAGTTCTCAGAGACTGTGATCAACTTTAAAAAATAAGAATGAACTATCAATTTAGAAATGCCACCATGCTTTGGTATGAACCTCAAACTTTTTTGCACTAATAGAGTTTTTAAGACCTTCTAATATGACGTTTTACTTCATTGCTCCCATTTAGACTTTAAAAGAAGTGTATGTCAAAGAGGAAGCAAGTTTTTGTTGATTCTACAAAAGGGAAGTTAGTAGAAACAATGGTTGACCTTCATCTATCTTCTGTCCAAGGTATTGGACTATCTGTTTCTTCATGGTCGTCTGTGCGAGAGAGGCTTTGATGCCAGCGCTGTGGAAGAGTGCTTAGAAATGTACCAGTGCTCAGAAGAAAAGGTTTGTACTTTCCTCTTGCTCTTAATAGAAAGGAAAACACTCTATTGGCCTCTTTAATAAAGATTTCATTGCAGATTACACTGACTGAGCATTTTCTTTTCACCGTTTGTTTCCAGGCCTTGCAGTATCTTGAACTCATGTCCAGATTTGGTGAAATGGGGTTCGAGAGAGACGCGATCAAAGAGGTCCTGCTAGTCCACAACAACGATCAGGACAAGGCTCTGGAGGATCTGATGGCGCGCGCCGCTGCGAGCTGAGCCAAGCCGGCGGGGAAGCCAAAGCTCTACTCCAGGCATCTGTCTCCACTCCCAACCTGAAGCCCCTTTCCCTCTGCCTACCTTATCTCACTACGCCCTGCCCTTTTTGCCTTGGCTGTGGAAAGGACACCCCGGAGGCGATTTCTGTCTGTGCTAAAACATACCATGCCTCAGCACTTCTGAAAGTTTGTGTGCCTAGATTGGATTGAGTTAACATGTACCTATACTAAATGCTCATTTCAGGTACTGCTGTGTTATTGGAGTAAATGACTTGATGCTGGGAAACGTGGGCTGTGGCATCTCGATGCCACTCTAATTTGCTTCCTCTTGGAAGTCTTTCGATGAATGCAGGAGAAACTGCGCAATTAAACGGGGGGAGGAGGAGCTAGCGGTGTGCACCTCATGGGAAGACTTGTGGGAACTTAAACTCTTTGATAAGACAGCTGCCATGTTCTCCTGCTTGCTGCAGACTTTTTAAAAAGGTGATGGGAGTGGAGAGGTCGAGAGACGGCCCTCTTTTCTAATTGAACCAGCTTACAGTGAAAGGCACAATCACAGAACAGAGCTGACTCTCAAGAAGTGCCCTCTGAGCTGTCGTGCCCAGGACCTATTTCTGTTCTTCTTTATGCTTTTCTTACATTCATGTCTTTTTTTTTTTTGTTTGTTTGTTTTTCTGTTCATTTTGGACATCATTTTTGTCTGTTTAAAGGTTGCATTTATTTGCTTTCTGTTTTAGGAATTGCATTATAGATCATTAGTCATGAAAACTCTGAAAATGAAAGAGTGCCCTGTTGCACTCTTCCACCTGCACTGGAAAGAAACCTGCTTCAGTGGGAAACTTTTTTTCTCCCTAAAAGAAACATAATATGTCTCTTGCCCCAATTGTCACTGATCATACAACGCACAGGCGCACACACGTTTCATTTATTCAGATGTTATTTAAAAGAGTACACTGACACTTTGATTTAAGATTTATTTGGAGCTCGGTGGGATTATGTAAGATATGTTAACGTACAAATGCAACTCTATAGAACTGTCCTGAGCGTTTGTTTGCAGACTGAAGCAGTGAGAGGCAACAACAACAAAAAAATAATAATATAAGTGAGGGTTGTTTGTTTTTCTGCAGCCAAATTACAGTGCAATAGACACATTTCATGTTGTATGGCTGTTGACTTGCACTTTGAGCCTCCATAAATGTTAAAAGGAATGGTCTTTAAAGCCTTACTGGAAATGTGGATGAAAGTTTCTGTTTTATTGAGTTCTGTCATTTGTTTTCTGTCACTGAATTTAATATGACAAAATTTAATCAAGGCTGAGGTTGGACTCTTGTTTTCCTCCCCTGATCCCTATGTACTTTTTTTTTTTTTCTCCATACCTCAGGCAGGTTGAGTATTTTCATGTATTATTCAAAGGCAAGCCCTGACAAGGCATGGGCCGGTATGAGATTGTGATAATCTTCAAAAAAAAAAAAAGATACTACCATTTTTCCCTGCCAAGAAATGTAGCAGATGTGTATAACAATCTAATTGCTTTTATTAAAAACAAAAGATGAGCAATAGTTATTCATGTTACTAGACTAAAACATTTTATATTGACCCACTCTGAAAAGTAACAAAATATTTTTGCCAAAATTATAAGGTGATTTAGAAAATGCAGTTCTCATGAGATACAAACCAACCTGCCCCGACTGTTAAATAATAAATTGGCCATTGTTAACTTTTTCTTTTGGGTTCTAGTTTCATCAGCCACAACAAGGTCCAACTCCTGCCAGACTTGTAGACTCATTGGATTACTTAAATAGAACCCGTCATTCAACATGAAGTAGGCTAAAACAGCACATCATGCTCTAATCTGAAGAAATCTTAGAGGAAATGAGAGTTCGACATTGGGAAGGGTTAAAAAAGCCCTTGCTCAGGGTTTTGGACCATCACTGAGAACCACTATTAAAACACGGAACAGTGGTGAACCTTCCCATAAAACACATGCCAACAAAAATAATTCAAATAGCAAAGTGATGAGTCATCCAGGAAGTTGCGAAAAAAAAACAAACATCTAATGCACTACGGGCCCCATTTCCCTCAGTTAAAGTCAGTGTTCTTGATTTAAGCAGTAGGAAAGACCTGAGTGAAATTGGCTCCCTAACAAATCATTATCTAACAAAATTGGTTAGTGCAGCAAAAATTGTGCCACTATCATCTTAAAGATATCAATAAATGTTTCCACAGAGCCTGAAATGTCATCCAGACCTCCCACCTTCTTCAAATCAGACAAAAATGGGATTAATCAACTCGACTACGTTTGTGCCGGTTTGTACTGCAAAGATTTTCATTTGTGTAACGTTTCGCACCAGTTTTGTTAGATTTGAAGAGGTTGGGGTGAAAAACAATGAAGACGTCCACAGTGATCAATGGGAAGGGGTCAGTGTCTGAGCCACTGCTGACCAAAAAGACCCTGAAGGTTGTCTTTCATTTTCCACTATAAATACTGATGAGTTCCAAGAGCTGTTGGGAAATGTTCTGTAAACTTATAAGTGCGTCAAGCTAATAGCATCCAGAGAAAGAAAATTATACCCACAGTCAAACATAATGGGGTAGTGTGCGGTGGTCTAAGTAACTGGACACGTTGTGCTTGATGAAACCATTCATTTCGCCCTCTATCTGGAAATCTTGCAAGAGAACGTTCAACCATTAACTTGTGACCTTGGGCCCAAGCACACTTGGACTCAAACCGCAGCAATAACTCTAAAAAAAAAAAGATTTTGGACTGAAGTTTGGATGGATTTAAATCGATGGTGTGGCGTCAAACGTTTACCAGCGAGGTTGCATAAAAATGGTTCTGCAAAGGAGATTGAGCTAAAATTCCTCCATTTCAGTCGAAGACTCACTTCAAGTTACTGCAAAAACGTAACATTTGCAGTAAGCGACGATACAACGGTGATACAACAAACTATAAAGGGGGCTATTCATTTTTCACCACAGGGTTAGGTTATTTTGATAACTTGTAATTCACTTAATAAATGAAAAGAGAAATATTTTGTATTTACGAAGGTTATGTTTGTCCTGTGTTGCAATTTGATGATCTGGAACGTTAAAATGTAAAAACAAGAAAACCCTAGAATAAACTGTAAGGGCTAATAATTTTTCTCAGCACTGTAAACTTGGAGAAATAAAGAATAAACACCGGTGCTTATTTGCAGCACTGTTACTTCACCAATACAACCGGCGACCCTCACTCTGGCCTCTCATTAAAAGGACGAATGAAAAGTGTTGCGGTTTTTTGAGACCGTAACTCTAAACACTTGAGTGTTTCTTGAGACGCGTGACTGGCCCATGCCTTATCCAGACACTAAAACCAGTGAAATTATGCTTGCAATCACACTTTTGGGATATGACAACATATTTGTCGAGTCTAAAATACCTTCCAGACGACAAGACTTGAGACTTTTTACAACACATGGATCGCTCCCTGACTCGTAATTCCTTGCAGAGTTGGAATTTCCATGTCGTAATAATTCATTCGAGTTCCTATAGGAAGCACTTTAAGTTAAATAGGTTTGACATGACTGACAGCTGCTTCTTCCTTTTTTTAATTTTTTTTTATTATTTAAGTTTCTATGATTTAAAAAAGAACAGAAAACACATAAGTGGTATTATTGTCTTCACACTTGACTTGTTAAATTTTTGTTATCCACACAGATATTAATTAAAGCTGTGCATCTTTGGCTGTTCCTGTTCAGATATTTTTGTTTGTTTGTTTTATTTGGATTATAGGTTTTGGGTAAAAACATATTTGTGTAAAAAAAATAAATAAATAAAATGTCAGTTTCCGCATTACCACAAAGCAAATCTAATCAGTTCTGATTAGATTTAACGTTAACGGTAAGGTTGGTGAGCTCAGTGTCGTTTTACAGATTCATTGATGCGTTTCGACAAAATGTTTAATTTTCTGTGAGATTATTTAGAAAATCCAACTAATTAAACATGCTCATCTTTTCGGCATTGCATTTCTCTGTTTGTTTTTTAATCCTAGAGCTTCATGTTTCAGCCCAGGTTTTTAAATGTGAGATATTGACCTTTCAAAGAACAACACATCCTTTTCCTGGTTTTGTGCCTCTCTTTTTAAATGTCCGGCTGAAAAGACAAGTTATTGTGTACAATAACTGGAAAAATCCAACTGTGACCTGTTGGTCAGCAGAAAAAATATAAAGAAGAGCAGCATGCAGTAGTTCAGGGGCCCATGCAACTTGCCTGCAACTAAAAATCAGAGAAAGCAATAGTTGTTTCAGTCCAACTGACCTGCTGTTATAAGAAATGATTTTCAAGACGTGTGATTTTCTTGTTTTAAGATTATACACATTTGGTCCTCATAAAGCACAATCTTAATGCAATCCTGAACAGCCGTCTGGAGTCATCTTGATTTTTTCATATTTACCTTTCAACAAAGGAGAGGTGACTTTCACCTTTAGATGTAAAAAGTTATTCTATGGATGCTGGTCGCATTTTCAGAGGTTGGATGTTTTGAGACATGGAAACAAAACGTTTGTTGAGTCACACTGACTTGTGCGACCATTCAGGAATAAAGGAGACAACCAGAAAATGCAAATACGGCTTTGCAAAAACCTACGTTCAGTAGGATCTTTCAACACTGCCAGTTCTCAAATGCAAAAATAAAAATTCTGATTTCTCGTGCTAAATTCAGAAAAAATATCGTGGGAACAAAGCACCGTTTTGCTTCACTGAGAGATTTTCCTGCCCCGTGGCACACGACAGACAATTGTGCTACTCCTAAAAAGTGATAAATCTTAATAACTAGTAGATTTGGAAAAGAAACAATTTTGTTTCTGAAATAAGATATTAGATATTACAACAAAAAAACAATGTACAAGAAAAATCATTGTGTAAAGAAAAAAAAGAAAGGTTTTATTTTCATCACAACAGTCAACCAAATTGTTTCAAGTCAAAAAAAAAATTATATTTATGAAATCAAAAGCCTGTTGCAAACATGTTCAAATCATGAACATGTTTACATCTCACTGTCAAGGAACCACATTTAAGGCTGGGAGTTCAACACAATTGCTTCCAGAATAATGGCCAAAATAGTTATGAATTCAAACTTGATATGTTTTGAATTAAAGTATTTAATGACATCAGAAGATTGGTCTGACGTCAGACCAATCTTTCACGCAGAAAAGCTTGGGCGGATTTTTGCAAAGCTTCTAAATCCTTGTAATCATCTGTCTGCTTATTAAATTAATTTGAATTCAAAAATACTTGACTAACTGACATGTGTGAGTGTGTCTATGTCTTTCTAGCGGATAAACAGACAAAAAAAAGCGTCTCCTGGACGCCAGTGACGTCAGTGAGTACGTATTACGCTCTCGGTTCCGTACGAAATTGTTGTTGTTGTTTAATTTGAGTGCGGCTGCGCACTGCCCAACGCTTTCGCCGTTGCCGCCGCTTCGCACACAGCTAGGCAGGGGAAAGAAAAAAAACAACAAAGAAACACGGACTGGAAAAGACTGAGTGGAAACGGGATAGTTTCTGCGGCCTCACGGTCATATTATTCAGGAGGCGGAGCTGCATATTTACCTTAATCTTAGCTTCGCTCTGACCAACCTTACCCTTATGTGATCGCCCTACCTCATCGACGGGCACTGCCAGCGAGGGCCGAGGAACAAAATAGCATATCGCCATTATATGACCCAGTATCCAGTGTTACTTGTACCCTCCATGTGGGTGAAGGAACTGTGTGTGTCAGATTATGGCGAGAAAAACAGTTAGCAGGAAAAGGAAGGCAGGAGAGCCGAAGGACCAACAACAGGTAGGCGGAAACCGGTTGTGTTAGCATGCTAACTAAATATGTGCTAGCCAGTGTTAGCTGACAGGTGCGTCCGTGCGGCAGCTCACCCGAGTAACTACCGCTCTATACGGCCGCACAAGGAGCCGGAACGCACACACGGGAGACTTTTCAAAAGAAGGGTTCGACATTGTTTCCATTCGAGGATCAACATCCGCTAATGTTAGCCCGACGTTCGCCAACGGCAGTCCGTTACAATACAAGGGCTAACGTTAGCTCAGTGTTTGCTCGGCTCCGATAAAGGCTGACGTTTCAGCTGCTGCGTAGCTTTGCAATTACGTGGTCGCAGGTGCTCTTTTAAAGGCCACACCCCGTAGCGTGACCCTGCGGGTCAAACCAACTTTTCGTCCCCAGCAAGAACTGAACTGAATTTCGACTGGGAACGAGATTTCCATTTTGGAATCTGACTGAGAAGCATTTTACCAACGTCAGCGTTAGCTGAGACGTCATACGTGCTCGTGTGCTGGCTTAAGTTTGTCATCGGAATGGGTGTACATTCATAAAAATGGGTCACCTGGGGAGAAGATACACATTATTGGTAGTGGTAATTTGTGAGCAATAAGTCGAAATAATATTTGTTTGATAATGTGCCTTGCAAAAGTGTATAATTTTTCACGTTTTGTTTATAATCACAAACTCCAATGTATGCCTTTTTGATTATATGTTACTTTTTGTACATTCTTTGTAGGAAAATCCGCAAAGGATAGCATGCATTTCTATTGAGTCTCCTTGACTCTGATGCCCCTAAATAAAGGGGCAACAGGACGCCCTAAAAAGTCCCATAATTTGCATTTAAAAAGCAGATGCAGACATATTCCAACCTTGCCATCTCAAAGGTTCTACAAAGCATTGGCATCAATAAAATGCTTGTCTCGTTTGTAAAGGCATTTGAACTCATGAATGATTTTCTTTCTTCTGATTACAAATAACTTAGATAAAGTCTATCTCATCAATCCCAGCAATAAACTGCGATTTCATCACATTTGAAACATTTCAACAGGTATGAGAACTGCACTGTATCGTCTCCACAGGTCGCTGTTTTGCACCTTTGAGTTTTTTTGTACTTTAAATAAGTTTTCATTTTAGTTGAGTCAAACACTAAGAATGTCTTTATTTTTACAATTTCTTTTTACAGTTTGAACCGTTTCGTTATGCTCTTATCAGTTTTGATTCTTAGCGGAAATAAATATTGCTTAACGACTTTATTACTCCTGAGAATGCAGGGTAGCCTTTTCTCGCTTGTAATAAAAACTCTCCCTTTTCCTCTGCCTTCTTCCACAGCTAGGCTGGTGTCAAGCGCCACAGAAGCGGATCCGTATTTCTTGTTCGTCGCGGCATGCCCAGCAGTGGTGCGGCAGTCGGCGCTCCGTCGTGTGCGCTCTCCGTGGACGCGAGTTCAGGCCCCAGCAGCAGCATGAGTTGCGGCTCCAACGGAGCCTGCGTGGCTTCGCGGCCGGCAGGCTCCCTGGGATCCTCAAGGAGAGGGAGTTCTCTCTGGGACGGCTGAACAAGGTGTTTGCTTCGCAGTGGCTCAACCACAGACAGGTGGTGTGTGGGACCAAGTGCAACACGGTGAGCTAATCCAGTTTTTGGCGCCCGTCTTTGTGTTTTGATGTTCCTCGTGCATATGTTGTACTTAACCGGCTACGTATTCTTCTTTTGTTTGCAGCTTTTTGTCGTTGATGTCCTGACGGGGAAAATAACACGCATTCCAATGCTGAAGGACAGGGAGTGTAGTGACGCAGGCGCTGGGACAGTGGGTGCTATGACGACAGGGCGGCAATATCTCCCAACAGGGGGCTCTCATGCCCGGTTGGACCAGCAGGGCTGTGGCATACATGCAATTGAACTCAACCCCTCAAAAACTCTGCTTGCCACTGGAGGAGATAACCCCAATAGCTTAGCCATCTACCAGCTGCCAACACTGGACCCTGTTTGTGTTGGAGATGTAAGTGTTTCTTGTGTGGTCATTTTTATATGTTGTTCAGACATGCAAGCATAATTAGTGAAATAGTGCCTCGACTTTCTGTAATTTGCTAATAATGTATGGGCCAGAACCTGATTTAAAATAAAAGTCAAAATTCAAAGGTTTAAATTTTATTTCTAAAAACGTTTTGTTGTTGTTCGCCGAGAATTTGCTAAAGGGAATCGTCATAACCTTTTCACGAGTCAGTTTGATTTATCTTTTTTAGTTTATTTGATCTAAAGCACTTAGACTTGCACATAATTGTTACAATCAATCAATACTTCAACTACGCCAATTAATATAAGGAAATTCAAAACATAAGTCAGGTGAAAGTAATTAATATGTTTGCACACTGCAACTTATACAGGTTCTCCCTGGTTTGGGGAAACACCTCCTCCCTTTGGCAAAATTTTTTACCTTCCATCTAAAAGTGAAACACCTCCCTGGCCTCTTCTAAACACTTCTAACCAGGTCAGATTCAGCCAACTGATTGGCTGAATCACGTGGGCTTTGCCGAAACATGTGATTCTCCCACCTGAGCTGTGGATTTCTGAGCTGTGGATTTCTGCAGCTTCTCCGTAGCTTCTATGGGCCTCTTTGCTGCTGCTCTTATTAATGCTTTCATTTCCCAGCCTTATAGTTTGGGTAGCTTGGTGTGTTTTGGTAGAAGATTTGATGCATTACTTCGTGTTAGTGTTATACATTAAAATTCCATTAATATACAATAAAGCTTGCAGTTGATAAGATACTCTATATATGATCTTAAAAGTCAGAGAAACCCTGTTTTTATATTTTATTTTAACAAATGAAAGTGGAGTTCTCATTCTGTTATAGTTAAAGCCGTTGTTTTCACGTGGGCTTTGCCGAACCCCCTCCCCCCCCCCCCCCCACACACACACACACACAAAAGCGTTCAAAATGCCATATTGTCTAGAGCACGGTCAATTAAAGGGGTCAAAGCAGTCCACAGTAAACGTGTGCAGCTTGCCCCGTCTATTGTGTCGAGTACAGTGGAATATTCTGCAGCACTGTGCAGTAACTCCTGGAATGCTGCAGCACATTATCTAGTAGAACAGGCTAGATAATGTGTTTCAGTACAATGAGAAAATTCAATTTTCTATCACTTAAAAGTTCACAGATTTATTTTGGTAGTGATAGGTCTTTTAAAACCGCTCAACCCA